TAAAGATGTGCGTGCGACCACATCTGGCTAAAATAACTCATTTATTTTTTATACTTTGGTGTTTGGTCTGTATATGTAGGGGAGTCAGATGCCCTAGAACAGCAATCAGACAGTTGTGAGCTACCATGTGGGTGGTGGGACTTGAACCAAGGTCCTCTGGCAGAGCAGTCAGTTCTCTTACCCACTGGGCCATCTCTCCAGCCCCTTGTGATCTGATCTGCCTTTCTTAATGTCAGTTCCTCCAGTTCTGTCCCTGTTCCTATGACCTCTCAAAGACTTGTTTTGAGTTTTTTGAGTGGCACTATCAGAAAGCTGAGAAGATGATGAGAATGTGTATTTAGTTGTTTTGTCTATCAGTAATTGTAAGAAACTAAAAAAACAAAAACAAAAACAAAAAAACTAAACAAAACAAGAACAGCAAAAACTGTTTAAGGAGTCAGATTCCAGACCATTCCCTGACTCTGTATGCTTTCTTTCTTTTTTTCCATATGAATTTTCTTTCTTGCTTTTTTTTTTTTTTTTCCCAGACAGGATTTCTTTGTGTACCCCTGGCTGTCCTGGAACCAACTTTGTAGACCAGCTGGCCTGGGATTAAAGGCGTGCGCCACAACTGCCTGGCTTCCATACAAACTTTCAATGTGTTTTCTCACTATATCTGCTTTCCTAAGATATGTGAATATATTGTTTAAGTATTGCAGCGCCAAAAGCCAGGCATGTTATTTCATACCTGTAATTCTAGTGCTCGAGAGACCAAAGTAGGAAGATTGCCTTGAGCTTGAGGCCAGCCTGGGCTACATCTAGAGTTCCAAGCAAATTCATACCTGTGCTGCAAAATGAATTCTTCTCAAAACACAAAAACAAAAAACTTACCAGTCATACAAAAAAACTTATTAGTGTATTTTCTTTAGTACTTAGATTTAATTGATTTTTTTAGTAATATTTCTACCACATTTTATTTTCTGTGTTTTAATGTTCTTAATTTAAAGTTTTTATTTTAATCTATTTCTCGGTCTTTTCCTGTTGCATAAAGTCTATAGGCCTAATCATCTTATATAAATTTTATTCATTTTTGGTAGTCTATAATTTGGTTTTCAGAGGTTTAAAAAATTTTTAAAGTTTTTAAAAAGTTTCATTTATTTATTTAGTGTATGAGTGCTCTATCTGCATGTACACCTGCATGCTAGAAGAGGGCATCATCTAGATGTAGCCCAGGCTGGCCTCAAACTCAGAGATACACCATTATAGATGGCTATAACCAAACCATGTGGCTGCTGGGAATTGAACTCAGGACCTCTGGAAGAACAGATAGTGCTCTTAACCTCTAAGCTATCTCTCCAGCCCAGTTTACAAAAAAAAATTATGGTTATGGATTTGTTTGAATCTTTTTTGTTGTTTGTTTTTGAGGCAGGGTTTCACATTGTAGCCCTGGTTGGCCTGGTATTCATTATGTAGACTGGGTCGGCCTCAAACTCAGAGATACACCTGCCTTTTCCTCCTAGTGCTGAGATTAAAGGCTTGAGTTGCCATGCCTGTATCAGTATTTGGCTTGTGTGTATGGGGGGTGTATATGTGTACCCAGGCCTTTTGTTTGCAGAGGTTAGAAGGAGGCATTGGATTCCCTGGAACAGGAGTTATAGATGGCTGTGAGCCACCATGTGGGTAATGTGAATTCAACTTAGGCCCTCTGTACAAGTAGTAGGTGTTCTGAGCTATCTTTCTAGCCTCTACAACTTGATATTTTATAACGTGTCTTGTTTTGTTTTTCCTTTTTTTTTTTTTTTGGCAGGTCTTTACTCTGTAGCCCAGGCTAACATAGAACATTCTTATCTTTCTGCCTCAACCTATAGAGCCATGGTTCTGAAACTGTGGGTTGAAAAACCCTTGACAGGGTTCTGGGGGACAGTTCAAACAATCCTTTGTCGGGGGGGGGGGGACACTAAGGCTATAGGAAAACACAGATATTTACATTATGGTTCATAATAACAGCAAATTTTCAGGTATGAAGTAGCAATGAAATACTTTTATGGTTGGGGTCATCATAATATAAGGCTGTTAAAGGGTTGCATCATTAGGAATGTTGAGAACCATTGCTCTAGAGGCTTGAATTGTTTTTTTTTAATGTGAGTCACCATGCCTAGGGATCCTCTTTAATGCCATGTGGGTTTATGCTTAAAAGTGCATTGCTTATAGTTCTTCTTCCTTCTTCCCTTCTTCCCTCCCTTCCTCCCTCCCTTCCTTCTTTCCTTCCTTTTTTCCTTTTTTTTCCTTTTTTTCCCTTTTTGGTTTTTGAGACAAGGTTGCTCTATCTTCTCTGTCTGTCCTGAAACTTGCTGTATAGACCAGGCTGGCTTTATACTCAGAGATCTGCCTACATTTGTCTTCCAAGTGCAGGGATTAAAAGCATGCACCACTGCACCTAGCCTTCCTATTTCTTTTTGAGGCAGGGTTTCTCTTTGTAGACTTGGTTGTCCTGGGCTCATTGTGTAGACCAAGCTGGTCTTAAACTCAAAGAGATCCAACTGCCCCTGCCTCCCCGTGTAGCCTTGTTTCTTCTCTTTCTTTCTGTCTTTTTAATTTTTTTTAGGTTTGTTTGTTTAATATATATGAGTGCTCTACTGCATGTACACCTGCATGCCAGAAGAGAGCATCAGACTACATTATAGATTGTTGTAAGCCACCATGTAGTTGCTGGGAATTGAATTTTGGACCTTTGGAAGAACAGACTGTGCTCTTAACTGCTGAGCCATCTCTCCAGCTCCTGCCTTCTTGTTTCTTAATATATAAGTACTTAAGAAGCCAGCATTAGACTTATGGTAAAACATTAGTCTCATTTTCTTTTCTTTTTTTCTTTATTGTTTTTATTCTTTAAGACAGGGTTTCTCTTGTAGTCCTGGCTGACCTGGATTTGCTTTATAGACCAGGCTGACCTTGAACTCACAGAGATCTGCCTGCCTTTGCCTCTGGAGTGCTGGGATTAAAGACATGCAAGACCACATTCATCTTTAGTCCCATTTTTTTTTTTTTAATGCAATGACAAACCAAGATAAAGGATGCTTGTTAGTGAATTTTACTGCCTTTTTTTTTTAGAACTGCAGTATGGTTTATTGACAGTTGGAAATTATTTTTTCCCCATAGGTGTTTGCTTTATAGTAGAGGGTGGCATTGAACTTGTGATCTTTTTGCCTCAGTGTCCTAAATTGTGGAATTATAGTTGTGTGCTGTCATGCCCCACCCAGAAAATATTTTTTGCTTACTACTTAATAAATTATTATGTATTTAAAATTTTAGAAAATGGGAAAGAAAGTTACTACATGCAATATAAGAAGTCTACTAAATACCTTTTTTTCCCTCAAATTTAATTCACTTTATTTTTCTTGTATAAAAACGCTTAGGTGAAAACAAACAAACAAACCCTTAGGTGGTAGCCACAGCTGGAGTGTGGGTCCTCTGAACAGAGACTCTGGTGTGGGTTTTCACAAGATGATCAGTGAATTCCTGATAAGGAGACTTGGTGAACACAGTCTCTTTCCAGAGGTCAGGGGTCAGGTAGCTGTGGGTCTTGGAGATGGCATCAAAGGTGGCCTTGGCAAAGTTGCCTAGGGTGGCAGTGCAGCCTCTGGCTGATGTGTATCAGTCATCAATACTGGCCATCAGCAGTAGCTTCTTGGGCACAGGAGCAGAGACAATGCCAGTGCCTCTGGGGGCAGGGATGAGATGCACCAAAACAGAGCCACAGTGGCCTGTTACCTTTTGCAGAATGGTGTGGGGTTTGCCAGTCTTGTTGCCCCAATAGCCTCTCCGCACAGGGATGATGGAAAGCTTAGCCAAGATGATGGCTCCTTGGATGGCAGTGGCTACCTCCTTGGAACACTTAACACCAAGACCAACGTGACCATTTTAGCCCCCAATAGCGACAAAAGCCTTGAACCTGATCCACTGGCCATCCGTGACTGCTTCTGCACTGGCAAAATTTTTAGAACCTCATCCTTAGGGATGCACCCAGGGAAAAGTTTATAATCTCAGATTCCTTAATGGGCAGTGAGAACAGGTAGATCTCCTCCAAGGACTTTATCTTCATGTCCTTAACCAGGCGGCCCAGCTTGGTGACAGGGAATCCTCCACTCCTTAGGCTTTACCTCCAGGAGCCCCACTGCCTTGGCCACGCCTGCACCCACCCCCACCATATCCTTGTTGTGGAAGCCTGTGGAAGTCGGCCTCCTAAGCCCCTGCACCAGCATCATCCACCATTTGGTGTATTCCCAAAGAAGAAGAGAAAGACTACCTTTTTTTTTATTACAGTTTTTTTTAATTTGTACCCCCTCGTCATTCCCTCCCTCATCTCTTCCCTGCCCCTCTCTAAGTTCACTGATAGGGGCTTATCAGGTCTCTTCAGGACTGGCTGCAATGTCCTCCTCTGTGGCTAAATGCCTTTTAAAGTGATCTTCAGATAGGTTTAAGTACAAGAAACCATGGCAATTTAGTTTTATAGATCAGATTTAGTTTAGTGTAGCAGCATACAAAAGGATAAGATTTTTAATTTTATTTAAGACAGTGTTTCTCTGTGTATCCTTGGCTGTCCTGGACTCACTTTGTGTAGGTGTGTGCCACCACTCCCTGGTGATAAATCTTGAATTTGTGCGTGCATGTATGCGCACCCACAGGCACTCATCCATGTGTGCATGCTTTCTACCTTTATGTACACTTGTAAAGTTTCATGTATAAATTGATTTGCAAAATAAATTTGATACTGCTATATGTGGATTTTTTATTTTGCTTCTACATAAGTTTTAGGTTAAGAATTTTTTTTCCCCTTTAGATACTCAAGGATGAATTTTCCATTCATTTTCTTCATGGAATCTCTTTCTATATTGATATACTTTATAGTTAGTAGAAAAGTAAAGAAAGGAATATTTATCAATTAAAATTTTGAGTTAGATTACAAAGATGATTCAGAGATAAGCTGATCACTATGTTCTCCGCCTTCTTTGCTTTGTAGTGGGACATCTCCTCTTGCATGCTTAAATGCAATGCTGCACACAAACTCCCGAGGTGAAGAGGGCATCTTCTATAAAGTCCCAGGTAGAATGGGAGTGTATACTTTGAAGGTAAGTTGTTGGGGAGACAAGAAATAGTAAGTGACAACATATCATAATTGAGTTATAGAGACAGAATTCTGCACTTGAGGAACTTATTTCTAGGAAATAATTATTTCCAGTCCTAAAGTAAGTAAATAAGTTTTGGGGAGGAGGAAGATCTTCTGGGAGTTGAACTCAGGATCATATGAACATTAAGAAGGTACCCTTTGTATATATTCTTACTTAAATTTTTTTTTTTGAGATTTATTTTATGTGTGTGTGTTTTGCCTGCCTGTATGTGCAACACATACATGCCGTACTCATGGATGCCAGAAGGAAGGTATTAGATCCTCTGGAACTAGAGTTTCAGTTGGTTGTTGGCTTCTTTTTGGGTATTGAGAATTGAACCTGGGTCCTCTGGAGGAAGGAGCAGCAGTCAGTGCTCTTAACTGCTGAGCTCCTTCTCCAGCCCCTACTTTTTTTCCCCAAGAAATTTATTTATTTATTATTTATACATTATTCTGCTTACATGCCAGAAGAGGGCACCAGATCTCATTTTAGATGGTTATGAGCCACCACATGGGTGCTGGGAATTGAACTCAGGGCCTTTGGGAGAACATCCAATGCTGTTAACCTCTGAGCCATCTCTCCAGCCTCTAGCCCCTACTTCTTATTTTAAAGAACCTCAAAATATTTAAATTATAAATTGGGTATAACTTTGAAACATACTGCCTAGAGCCATATATGCTTTGCTTTACTCATGGACTTCCCCACTAAAATTACAGTTATGGTTATTAGGCCTGTTTTTATAATGGAGAAAACTAAAGTTTAAAAGATGTGATTTCTTTACCTATGTTGGCTATATGGTATCAGAATAAGAATAGGAACTCTGATAAGACTTAATGCCCATATTTCTTCCATAGCAATCTGGCTAATGTCTAGTTTGTACATGAAAATGGTGGTCTTTTCTTAACAATATCCTTTCACTTACAAGTAGGAAAGCAGACCTAAGTGATCTTAGTAAGAAGGCTAGGGAGTTTATTAACTCATGCAGCTAAACTTTCCTGGGAAATCCAGGCTGGATCCCGCTGATCAAAAAGATGTCATTTGGTCGTGGTCTCTCTTCTTTCTTTTAGCTTTATTCTCAGTCAGCCTCTTCTCATCGTATATGAATTCATTCTGCATCTCCATTCTGCAAACTGTAAGTCTAGAGAGACAAGACTCCAGTAACTAGAGCAAGAGGCTCTCACCTCATTCAGATTTAACTTTCTTAGTTTGGCCCAGCCCATGTGACACTGTACATGAATTATGGCTATTGTCAAATGTGTAGAATCACTGTCACCCTGATGTAAGGTTGAGATTAAGCTTGTGACAGCCTGATAATTAAGGAGAGTAGTTGTTTCTCAAAGGAAGTTTATCAGCAAGCCAGAATGAATGTTGGGCAAAGTTACACCCAAAGTGACATATCCATAGGTACCCCTGACCCATTATCTCTTATCTCTGAGCTACTCATCGCAATGCTCAGTGGTAGTGTGGCATCCACTAATGTTAAAAACATCTCACCTGGGGGCCTGAGGTGGATCGGCATGTAAAGGCACCAACAACCTGTTTTTGATGCCCTGGATACGTATATATGAATACGTAGAACCAATTTCCACAAGTTGTTCTCTAACTTTCATATGGTGCCTGTGCTTACACATTAGTGTAAAACAAACAAAACAAATGAACATTTTCCAGGTGTGGTGGCCATGTGTGCCTTTAATCCCAGTACTCAGGAGGCAGATGTAGGTATCCCTGAGTTTTAGCCAGGCAAGCCTGTGATGGACTGTGGGATCTTGTCTCAGACAAAACACAAGAGGAGCACAACCCCACATCTAGCATCTGAAAGTGGTGGTTTATGTTTATCAATCATAATACTCAGGAGACCAAGGCAAAAGGATCATGTCCAGTTCTGGACCACCCTGAGCTTTATAATGAGTTTAGTGCCAATCTGCACAATATATAAAATCCTGTCTTGCTTTTCAATCTTAATTTTCTCTGACTCTGTTTGCAGTGTTTAGTATTTGTGTGTTATGAGACTTGAATTCCAAATGAAGCTTTTACTTTTTTGGTATTTTAGCTATTCTAAGATCTTCTGTGATTTTAATTACATTCATTAAGTGCTTACTGGGTTGTAGAGACAGGAGGGAACCCCTCAAAATGTATTTTCTATTCTTAATACCACGTAGGACAGTTCTCTGATACCAGGTGTTTGTGGGTTTCTCCTATACATCAAGTAATTCTCCCACTGAAATCAGGTAGGTGCCCTTTAATTTAACTCAGTTTTTACACTGTCTGGCTAAGGGCCCCATACCACTGATTACCCTTCAGTTTTAAGTCTTTGGTTATGACCTCTAACCCCTGATAAACCAGCTCTACTTGAAGTTTCCATGTTGTTCTTGTGTTTGATTAACTTTCTAGGACTCTTTACAGAAGATGTCAGAGAAAAACTTTGTTTTCTAGTAATTTGAATTGAGATAGAAGACATTCATAAAGTGAGGTGTGGTCATTGAGTATGGAAGCTGTCATGGCTCATCAGCCTCCAAGTGCAAACACGATCTTAGCCATATGCAAGCTCATCCAAAGCCCTATTATGGAAAATGTGTGATATGAACATGTTTCTGTCAATTGGCCATCAACTGAGTCTTCATCCTCTAGAGCTAGGCTAAAGGTTTCAACTTTCTAATCACACAATTGTATCTCTTAGTAGTCTGCCCCACTCTGATGCAGGCCATTCTGGAGCCCACAAAGAGTCATCAAAACAGATGGTCCATTCCTGAGGTGCTAAGTCACGTGGGTGCCTATTTCAGGAACTAGAGTCAAAGACCAAATAGCAGAACAATAGATTCTCCTAATCCTGCCATTGATCAGAAAAGTACAAGATTCTTAGTACTCTGCATCAAGAGTTCAGTTTTTAAAGCTGGAGAGAAGGCTCAGCAGTTAAAGAGTATTTGCTGATATTGCACAGGAGTGGGGTTCACTTTCTAGCCTGATGCCCTCTTCTGGCTTCCACTAGCACTGCACACACACACGGTACACATATGCACACATGCAAAACAATGTACAATAAATATATAATAAATCTTTAAAGAAAAGAGAATTTAGAGTTTAAATAATGTACGTCTTGTATCACATTGTCAAGTCTATGCCAGAATAAAAGAGACTAAGGTGGATGAACTACAGTTACTGTTCTCTCTAGTGCTCACATTTTTGGTATTAAAATGTTTAATATTTGGAGCAAAATACTTATTTTGAATAAAAGTATCTAGAAAGTTTGTGCTATTTACTGGTAAGATTTAAGCTGAACTTGAACATACACATAGAAGAGGAGTGAGGCCTTCGGGGATATGAGCAGCCTAAATGAAGGGACAGGTGAAATTCTGAATGGATTTGAAAATAGAAAAAATTAGATTAAGTGATAATCATTCGAGTCAAGGTAATTGATAAACATTAGTTAACAATTAAGTTTGACCCTGACTGAGTTCTGTGTGTTTGGGTGGGGTGTTTAGTAAGTAGATGGCAGAGGTTTTCAGGGAGAACCATGTGATCAAGTCTGTTTTTTAAGAAGATTTTCATGTAAAGGTGATTACACTTTGAAGGAAGTACTCAAGAGTAGTAAAACAGGTAGACCCAAGAGACATTAGAGAAATAGAACACATTGCATTTGGGATGCGTAAGACAGTGGGTGAGAAAAGATTCTAAGATTTGGGGCATGAGCCGTTGATCCCAGAGGGATCACAAGTTTTTTGCAAAAAGAAGATAATTATATTTGTATTTCAGATACTTGTTGAACCTACAGGTCAAGATGTCTGGCTGGCAACTAACTCTATAAAAGCTGTCCTGCATTTTGAAGGAAGGAATATAAAAATATGGGGTCTGTATTTTAAGAAAGTGTGTAACATAAGAGATGGATTAGAGAGAAATTTAAGTGGAAAATAACTGTTCTTACTCAGTTGGACTTAGTGGTCTTGGGAATATGTCATGTGGTGCCAGTTAGATGTAGGATCTTTTTTTTTTTTTTTTTGTCTGTCAGTTCATTTTTTTAATTTGAGTACAAAAAATATGTGGGACTATACAGTGTACTGATGGAAAGAAAATCCATAAGAGAAATAACATTCACTAATTCATTTATTTGTATATGTTTTTGTACTATATAAATACATAGTAACTAATAATGAGTTCCTGTAAAGGCACTATTCTAAACAGCTAATATTAACTAGCTCATTTAATTTCTATGTGACCTTTTAAGGTAGGTACTGTTACCCCACCTTAGAGACTAAAATTAAGGCATTAGAGATTAATTTAGACTAAGGCTGTGTAGTTGGGAGAAGATAAAGCCAGAAAGCCATTCTTCCCTAGCCTTTCATATGCAACTAAATGAGCCTAGTTATTCTTTCTAGTTAACATTCTCATTATTCAAAGATGACACTAAAGAGATTGATGTGATTCTTAAAACAACAAAAACAAATAGTGCTCCTTTTTCTTTGCTGCTACTCATTAACCTATATGATGAACCAGTTAGATGAAAATAATATGATCTTTTTTTCCTGACTTTAATTTAACTCAGAATACATAGGGTACTACCCTACACTCACAAAAATATGTCTAACAATATTATTATTAGCTTTTAAACTTGAACATTTCATCTTTTACCTGAATTTATATCTACCAGTTTTGGTGTAATTTAAACATATGTTATGCCTGCATATGAATGTTGTATATAATTTTTATCTTTAGGTATAGATGGAAAATTAAGTTATTTGTCCCAAAAAAGGGAAGTATCAGGATTTCAGCAAATATTGGTGGTTTTACTATTTTATAATACTAAAAATTAAAAATTAATCAGTTAATTATTTATTGCATTACATATTAGAAATTTAGTTTCAATATGCTAAAATGGTAACAATCCTAACAGGATGCCTACATTTTCAGAAAGATGTGCCAGATGGAGTGAAAGAGCTGTCAGAAGGTTCAGAAGAAAGCAGTGATGGTCAGTCAGATTCTCAGAGCTCTGAGAACAGCAGCAGCAGTGATGGTGGCAGCAACAAAGAGGGGAGAAAGAGCAGGTGGAAAAGGAAAGGTAATCTCCGACTGCTGCAGGCAGTGCCTTCCCACTCTTCTCAGATCATCAACTTCTTCTTTCCCTGATAGGTTAGTGCTCTGCAGTAGTCCCTGCAGGGATTCTAGCGTTTGTATTGAACCTGTCAGACATAGGGCAGCAGCTACTAGTCTCATGGATCTCTCTGACTGTGTGACTGAGGAATTTTTTTAAATATACTTTTCTGTTAGGGACTGGGAGATTGCTGTTTTGGGTTTGGATCCCAGCACCTATGGATATATATCAACAGTAATGGGGATGGGGGGGCATACATTTCTTGGTTCACTGGCCATGCAGTCTAGCCAACACTGTGAGCTCCAGGGGCGATGAGAGACCCTTTCTCACAATGTGTGTGTGTGTGTATGCACACCTGCGCATACAGGCATGCATGAGTGAGAGTTGGGGGAGGGAAAGGAGAGAGGACTTTGGATTATGAAAAGCAAAGCCAAAAACCATGAAGTTGAAAGAGGGTTATATTGTGGGGTGTATGAGGGGAGCTGTAATAGAGTTTCAGCATAAGGACCACAGTTCAGATCCCCAGAATGTAAAAGTTGGGCAGGCATTGACAGTCGCCTATAATCACAGCCGTCACTTAAGCAAAGACGGGGTTACTAGTTAGCTAGACTAGCTCAAGTGTGACAAGCTTGGGGTTCAACAAGAGATCAACCTCTGCACACATAACATGCACACTGCACATACATACGCAAAGGAAAAAAACCCATGGAAAATATCAGGGAAGACCGTCAGTGTGAACTGTGGTCTCTTTACACAGTGCACACTCAAATACACCCACCAACATATAAAATGTCCTTTTGGTCCTTTTCTTTTAGGTTCAGATTGAGTGGAAAGTACAGTATTTCCATTTGCTTTCTACTCTAACATGCACAGACTTGCTGACATTGGGTTTTGCTTGTGCTTTTTTGTGTACATATTTTTCTTGGCTTTTTGGGACAAGGTCTTGCCATGTAGCACTGGTTTACAACTAGATATATATAGACCAGGATGGCATTCAATTGGCTAATCATCCTGCCTCTGAGTGCTCAAATTACATGTTTTGGTACTTGTATTTAGCAGTCATGATTGTCCCATGTCCCTTCTTTCATTTGTTCCACATTTGTTAGTTGTACTTTGGTAATCTATACTGGCATATTTTTGTCACCCAGATTTTGTTGTTCACATTGGAATTTGTTCTTGGTAGTGTACCTTCTTAGACTTGGGACAGCTGCATAGTTTACAAAGACATGTATACATATGTGTCTTATTCAGAATAGCCTTACTGCCCCAAGTATCCCCTCTGGCCTGTCTTCTGATCTTTTCTATTGTCTTCATAGCTTCGCCTTTTTAAGACTGTTGTAAAGTTGGTATCTTTTCAGATGGGCATTGTTTTTTAAAATTATGTTTTTTTTTTTTCTCTCCTGTGGCTGGTTGGTGGTGTGCACACCTTTATCCCAGGATTTGGTATACAGAGGCAGGTGGATCTCTGTGAGCTTGAGACCAGCTTGATCTGCCGAGCTGCAGTTTTACAGGACAGCCAAGGCTACACAGTAAAATTTTGTCTCGAAAAACTTTTAAAAATTGTGTGTGTGCACACACACATATATATGCACACTGGTCCATGTGCACGTACACCTGTACTCACGTGTGATAGTGCCATGACATTTATATAGGGGTCAAAGGACAACTTAGAGGAATTGATTTTCTCCTGCCTATGTGGGTCCTGGCCTTCCAACTCATGTGGTCAAGCTTGATGGCAGGGTCTTTACCCAACAAACCACCTTACTGGCTCCCGAATGGCAGTTTTCATTTAGTGCTATGTATTAGAGATTTCTCCATGTGTTTTCATGGCTTATGGTACATTTTCCTGTAAAGCTAAATAGTATTCCACATTTGCAAATAGCCATTCACCAATTAAAAGATGTGTTTGTTACTTATGTTTTGGCAATTGTGAGTGAAAACTCTTATGACCTTTGTGCAGAAGTTTTTCTGTGGGCATATGTTGTGTCTATAAATTCACAGAAGTGTGGCTGCTGCATTATGAGGAGAATATGTTAAATTTTGTAAGAAGCTGACACTCTGCTGCAGTGACTGCTGCTCTGTTTCCACCAGCAGAGAATAGTAGTTCTGTTGCTTTATATCCTTACCAGCATTGTGTGTTATCTATTAGTCTTCTGGATTTTGGCCATTCTAATAGGTGCATATCAGTATGTCACTGTTGTATTTTCATGATTGCATGTGATGTAGAAGTCTTTCTGCATGCTTATTTTTCATTTGAATATGTTCTTTGTTCAGAAGTGTGCCCAGGTCCTTGGCCCATTTTCGTTAAGGTTAGGATGTTAATTTTTTATTGTTGGCTTTGATGAGTTTCTTGTTCATTTTGAATAGCAGTCTTTTTATTTATTTTTATTTTATGTGTAAGTTTTGCCTGCATGTATGTCTGTATCATGTGCGTACCTGGTACCCACAGATGCCAGAAGAGGGCATTGGATCCCCTGGGACTGGAGTTATGGATGGTTATGAGCCACCATGTGGGTGCTGGGAATTGAATCTGGGTCCTCTGCAGGAGTAGCCAGTTCTCTTAACTGCTGAGCCAGCTCTCTAGCCTTGGATTATAGTCTTTTGTTCGGTAAGTTTTTTCTATGTATTTTCTCCAAAACTATAGGTGTGGGGTTTTTTTGGGGTGTGTATGTGTGTGTGTGTGTGTGCTTGTTTGTTTGCCTAGTTTTGTTATGTTTTGTATTGTTTTTAATTCTTGTGGCAGTTTTTCCCCTCCAAATGTGTGTTTGTATATATATGAATATGCGTACAGACTCACATGTGGCATCCGTAGTGTGGGTTGGTTCAGGGGTTGGTTCTCGCCACTTATACCTTGTTTTGAGTCAGACTCTCTGATTTCTGCCACTAGTCTTAAGCTTCTGGGCAGATTCTCCCATTTGGCCTTAGAAACACTGGGATTGCAGATACTTGCTTCCGGGTCTGATTTTTATGAGTTTCAGAGATCTTAGCTCACATTGTCAGGTTTTTGTCAAGGGCTTGTACCCACCAAGCCATCTCTTCAGTCCTGGCTCTGGCAGTTTCTTTTTACAAAGCACAAGTTTTAAAGTTGAATGTAGTCCAGTTTATCAGTTCTTTGTTTTGTGGACTTGAGCCTTTGGTATTGTATCTAAAAGTCATGACCAAATCAAAGCTCACCTGTATTTTCTTTTGTATCTTCTAGAAGTTTTATAATCTTAAGTTTTGTGTTTAAGTCAGTGGTTAGTTTTAATTGTGTGTGTGTGTGTTGAGGTTGACACAGAGACACTGGCTGGAATGGGGACTATGCCATGGTGTACATGTGTAGGTCATTGGACAGCTTTGTGCAGTTTCCACCTTTATGTAGGGAGGCAGATGCAGACAGATAGAAATTCAAGACCAGTCAGGACTACATAAGGAGATCATACCTCAAAAAAGAAAAAAAGTATGCAAATTTTTTTTTGTTTGTTTTTTTAATTTAGTGAAATGTGTTGGACAACATTCTAAATTTTACCTTGGTTTATTCTCGACTATTTCCATCATAGAAGATGCTTACAATTACTTATTTGCAACTCTTCTAATTTTCTCTTCCAAACTTGGAACACTTACTGTTCTCATCTCTCTCCTTACTAGGAATAGAATGCTCATTACTGTTAGCAAACACCAGATGCAGACTGCCTGTCTTTGCTCTTTTACCTTTTTTTTTTTTTTTTTTATATGCTCATGCCTTTTGATAACCTGTTTTATAGCTAATGAAGACACTTAAGGAGTAATGGGTACATTGCAGCCCTTTCCCTGAAAGGGATTTTCCTATTATGGATAACATTTTGTCATCTGTTTGTACTAGTTATTCTGTAACTTTTTGTTAGCTTCTATTTGAAGAGGGAAATTTATTTTTTTAAATCCTCATATTTAAATAAGCTATATGTGGCGATAGAAATTTGGGGCTACTGAGTACCTTACGGAGGTATTGATGTTCCTGGATAAAGTAGACAAAGTTTTCTCCAGCTTGAATCTCTTCTAAATTTGAGTGGTAGTAAACTACCTTAGACCTTAAGATAGGCTTCCCATAATAAAAGACTTGTTAGTTTTTACTGCCTTGGGAACCGTTGATGTGTTGTATCAGAAGAAAATAGCTTTTCTTTTTCCCCCATTGCCAGTGGTAATGATTGTGCTACTCTTTGGGAGCATAGAGCAAATTCATCAGTGCATTTATGTTTTCTGGTATAGCTACTACACATACAGTTCAAGAAAACTAATCAGACAATCTTAGTGGTAAGTTTACAAGCTCATTGGAGAGGCACACAAACTTCAGTTGTCAGATACAAATGGGATGAAAACAAAATGAAGTAGGACTTTCTGTTGCAAATCCTTGATGAATGATTTCAGAATAATCCCTGATAATGATGAATAGCAGCTGTGGCCCAGGGTCTTCTATTCTGCAGACTTTTAAGCAGCTGGTTTGGGAAGGATAAAGTGAAAGGGGCTTTGTCTTTTTTTCCCCCACTTCTCTCCAGCTTAGATTTTTTTGTTTGTTTTTTCTGTAGGTTTGAAAATTGTAGATCGTAGTTTAGGAGCAAAGTCAAGGCATCAAGCAAAGAAAAGCAGCAAGATTCATGTTTTCTACAAGGCATCCTAAACAAAGAGGTCAACATTAAATGTGACCAGACTAAACTGAACAAAAATCAATCTCTTGGAATATATTGGAGCATTTTTCTTTGGGGGATGAAATGCTCACAGGATCTCATGTAGTCTGGAGCTGACTGGCTCTACCCTCCAAGTCCTGGAGTAATAAGCATGATACCACATCTATCTTTGTTTTTGGAGACTGGGGCTCATTGTGTATCCTGGGCTGGCCTGGAACTTCACACATAGAGATCCACATGCCTCATCTCCACCATTCGAGAGCCACCCACGTTGGGGCTAAGGAGATGGTTCAGCATTTAAGAACACTTGTTCTTGCAGAGGATCCAGGTTTCTTTTCCGGCATCCATATAGCAACTCGTAACCATCTGTAAGTTCAGTAGGGAATCCATCCTCTTTTCTGGCCTCTGTGGGTACTAGATAACACACAATATGCATGTGTACATGTCGACAAACACCCGTTCATGTAAAATAAAGATGTGGGGTTTGTTTGTTTTTAGTTAAAAAAAAAAAAAAAAGAAAAAAAAAGCTATACATGCTACAGCAGCCTTTCCAGCAGTAGCTAGTGCCAGTGCTTGATTGCTGGTACTTTTTTGCTCAGAAATAATGTGTTAGTAGTCATGTCAAAGAATTTTGAGTAAATGCATTGTGATACAGAAATATCTTAAGTAATAATTGTAAAATTCCTTGTCCATAGTTCTATTGGTAAGTTTGAATAGTATAACCTTGCTCTACATTGTACATAATAATAGAAGACTTTAACAACTAGGTTAGGGGGCTGGAGAGATGGCTCAGAGGTTAAGAGCTTTGTCTGCTCTTCCAGAGGTCCTGAGTTCAATTCCCAGCAACCACATGGTGGCTCACAACCATCTATACTGGGATCTGACGTCATCTTCTGGCATGCAGTGTACATGTAGATAGAGCACTCATGCATATAAATAAATAAAAAGACAAACCTTAAAAAAAACAACTAGGTAATAACATTCAACATTGCTTTTGATCTGTCTTTAATTGATTTCTCTTGTAGAAATAGTACAGTATCAGCTATTTTCTCCTTGAATAATACTATGGTAAGATATTCTCTGAAGTAATTGTAGATAACCTATAAATCTGGGAGGAGAATAGCTTGGATAGTGGAGTGGGAGGTGTACATGAAGCTCATATATACTTGAGCAGCTCTGATATTTTTAAGACATGGACAAACGATGGATAAATGCTGAGCCAGCAGTAATAAAGAATAACTTAGTCTGTCTTATAATTTAAAATTATTATTTTTGGATCATTCCTGGTATAGTATCCTATCAAATGTTAGATATGTCTTATGTATTTATGAATTTTTATATTCCTGTGGAAATAAATGTGGCAATCCTGTAGCCAAATAGGAAGAGCTACTTCATTTAACAAGGCATTTTTTTTACTTTGGTTGAGGCAGAGAGAAAGAGTTGTGATCCATCCCAGGCTACTATATATAACCCTGTCTCAAGGAAGAAAAGAAAAGAAATAAAAGCAAAGGGATTGGAGAAATGGTTTAACAGGTGCACTGAGGCTAATCCTCATGACCTGAGCCTGAACCTTGGAACCTACATGGTGGAAAGAGAGTGCTGACCCTGACAGCTGGCCTCTGACTTCCACATACATGCTTCTATACAACAGAATTTTTAAGCTCATTGGGTTGGCATACATCAGAAATTCTAGCATTTGGCAAAGTGGAAGCAGGAACATTGCAAAACCAGTCTGGTATACACAGTGAGTTCTAGGCCAGCCAGGGCTATACAGGTAAGACACTGAAAAGATTTCAACAAACAGAATACTAAAAGCACAGTTCTAATTACCAATACAGCAAACTAATTGTGACTGTTCATTTTTCTTATTTAGGGCTTTACTCTTAGTTTGACATCACTATTTCGGATAAGACAGGAAGAACAATGAGATAGTATCAAAACCCACTTCCTTTTTATGTGCAAAAATAAAGAGCTCTGACAGCAAAACTGATACTTTTAGTTGAAATTTGATAGAAACTCTTGATATATGTGTAACCTTTCAGCGAAGTAGGAACAGACTAGAATTTAGAAACTCATTCCAATGTTACATTTAGCTTATTGATTTCTATGTAAAGTAGAGAAAATTATTAGTTTGTAGTTTTGGTTCTTAGCTTTCAGACAGGAAGTATGTTCAAAGAAGAGCTTTATGGAATTTCAAGTCAAGGTAAGGTGGAATAATGTCAGAAAAACTTATTAGTAAAATCAGTTATCTCTTATTGTTTTGTGGTCATAACTAAGGGAAGTCTCTGTCTTTTCCCCAAAATATGTTGTAAATAATATGACAGCTGCATGGATACTCCTACTCCTCCCCACCACCACCCCCCCACCCCCAAAACAGGACCTCTTTAGTGTTGGCTGTTCTGGAACTCATTATGTAGACCAGGCTGGCTTTGAACTCACAGAGATCCTCTTGACTGTGCCTTACAAGTGCTGTGATTAAAGACGTTGCATAGATGGAGTTTTATTTTGTTGTAAAGAAAACTTGTGAGATTTCATTGCTTTTTGTTGTTGTTAAGAAAAACATTGAGTTATGTGAAATACTCCTTTTAATTTTTAAGGGATCCCTGTCTCCCATAGCTCATTACTATTAACACGTGTTTAGATTGTTTTTATCAGGAGTTTGGTATTTGAATTACCTCTGGAATTAGAAAGTACTGTAAATCCACCAGCCCTAAGTTACTATACTGTGTATATTCTCTCTTATTTTTGTGTCAAATAGCTACCTAGCAGCACATAGTTTATTTATTTTGAAGCTTCATGGTCTTAACCAGTAAATACCAATTTGCTATAAATGTTTTCAGGTCAAGTATTAAAAAAGAAGAAATTAGGCAACATGTATTTTTCAGGACTCATCAGTAGGTTGTTCCTCTCTCAAACTTGAATTTCCTTGCTCTTACATGAGATGTCTGAATCAACAATGTCCATCTTTCTCCTTACCTACCATAAAAGATATTTATTGGACTTGGAGAAGATATGGTTTTGGTTCCCAGCATGCACATTAGGCAGCTCACAGTGCCTGTAACTTTCACACCAGAAGGTCTGACGCTGTCCTTTAGCCCTGTGGGCACTGCCCTCAGATGTATGCATACATACACACACGTTAAGTGGAGCTGGATTGATGGCTCAATAGAGTACTGGCTGCTCTTCCAGGGACCCAGATTTGACTCCCAAAACCTCATGGCACTTCACAACTCTCTGTATCCTCATTCCAGGGGATGTCACAACCTCTTCTGGTCTCTATGGGCACCAGGAATTGCAAATGGTACACAGACATGCAAAACACCAACATGTATAAAGTAAAAATGAAATTTAAAATGTACTCATATATAGTGTTAAACTTTATAGAACATAAAGGCAGGCCCACCATGACCTCTGTGTAGTTAATCTCAGGCTATATAGGACAGAGAATAATGAAGTAGGTGTTGGTTGTTTCCAGCAAAGAAATCTACAGAAATCTCTGTTGAACTTAAAAGCCTAAAAAGTGTCCATGAGGGAGGGTTAAAACAGTGGTAGAATTTTGAAGTGGAAATGGCCTTATTATTATTATTATTATTTTAATTAAACTTACTCATGACTTTCTACCATGTTGTGTTGTCATTGTCCACCTTCAAGTTTACCTTAGGAACACAGATACTACACAGATCCTTAGGACCTTATTCTAAGTTCTAATTTGGTAATGTGGATTTATACCTGACTTCCTGCTTGCTTAATCACTTCTAATATATTAAACAATGAGAAGTAATATATACTAATACTCGCCCCTTCCCCGTCCTATCATCCTACACTAGAACTTTCTGAGGAAATAAACTGAAAAGGGAGACTGTTTGCAGTACAACTCCAAAAAGAAGATCCTTCCCTAAAGTGTTTGGTCACAGTTCTTAACAGGTAGCAGCATATGACCTGGGGAAGGAATGGTGCTTGATATCAACTCTGATAACATAATTTTTCTTTGTCAATTTTTTCCTAGTATCATCTAGACTGTCGCAGCCATCCTCTCCCCAGTCAGGCTGCCCATCACCCACCATTCCAGCAAGTAAAGTAATTTCTCCATCACAGAAGCATAGCAAAAAGGCATTAAAGCAGGTAAGCATTGAGTCTGTGTTTATCAGAAGAATTATCTCCCCAATTAAAAATAATTATGAGAGCCTCCTGTTTCATGCTTTTAGTTCTTTTGTGTAATGGACAATAAAATTTTAAGACCCTATTTCAATAAAACACTGCATCAATTGTTCTTTTACTGAAATTTCTTGAAAGCTTTTTGATTTGTGTCTTTACAAGGTAAATGTCAGCAGCCTGCTAATCTACCACTAGTAATTTGTGTGCAGTGTGTAGAACACTCATTGTAGGGTTTTGGTAAATCCTTTTTAACATGTTTTTGAAAACCGAGTTGTTTTGCTAGCTTGCTGAGGTGTCCGTGCATGTGCTGAATTATGAATTGGTGTTTAAAATTTCAAGGCATTTTTATGCTTCTCACACTGAGCTACATTCCCAATCCTCAGGCTTGTTTTCTTTGTAACTTATTGTAATAATCAGGTTTTTGTTTTGTTTTGTTTTGCTTTTTTTTTTTTTTTTTTAACTCTATTGTATAGACTCACATTGATAGATTTCCTAATATTGCACTAAATCTAAGTGTGGAATAGTCCCCATATTCTCATTCTTTACATACTTTGTACAATTTTTTTTTTTAAGTTATAGTTTGTATCCAGTTATTATAGCACATACTTGTAATCCTATCACTTTGAAAGCTGAGGTGGGGAGAGAAGACTTTGAAGCCAGCTGGACCTATACATTAGCACCCTGTCTGTTATTTTATTTTTAGTTTAGATCTTGCAGTATTCTATTTGGTGCAGTTTTGAAATGAAGAAATTTCTGCCATTATAACATTGACTGTGTAGTTGTTTATTTTAGTCTATATTTGGTAAGAAATTTGTAGAAATTATCTTTACTACCTAGGTTGAAAAAATAGTACTTAAAAATAATTTTTCTTGTATTATATTGTTTTTTGCTAGTATAATAGTCCGTTGATTTTTCTCCTTTTGAATCAGTTTTGGAGATCCTTCCTAGAAATCTTCACTGGTTCATTTCTGGTCCAGTGAGATTGCTTAGCAGATAAAGGTACTTCCTGTCAAACCTGAAAACCTGTATTGATTCCTGGAACCCACACGGTGGGAAAGAAAACTGGAGTTGTTCCTGACCTCCACATTCATGCCTCCTCAACTCCATAATATACACAAAAAATGAATAAATGTTTAAAAAGAAGTAAACTGTTCCTTTAACTTAATTATTGTATTTGTTGCTGTAAAGTTATACAGTGTTCTCTTATTTGTCTTTTACTCGTGTTCATTTATTTGTTTGGATTGGCTCAGTATGTATTCAGGCTGTTTTTTTGTTTGGTTTGGTTTAGTCTTCCCCCTTTTATTCTTTCTTTCTTGAAATACTTTGGTTTCACAGTCATATAATCCAAGTACTAAAGAGGCTGAGGCAGGGTCATCCGAATTTCAAGGCAGCCTGGTTTATGTAGAAAGACATTGTCTAGCAACCCTCTCCAAGAAAAAGCAAAAGATCAGTAAATACAAACTGACAAGTGTAGGGCTGGAGAGATGGCTCAGTGGTTAAGTGTACTGATTGTGCTTCCAAAGAACCCGGACTTAATTTCCAACACCCACATGGCAGCTCACAATTGTTTGTAACACCAGTTCCAGAGGATCCAACACCCTTACACAGATAAAACACCACTGCACATAAAATTAAGAACAAATAATTATTTTAAAAACTGACAATTAATTAGAAAAACATTGAATAGCATCATTTGAATTCTCATAGCTTGTTATAAACTAGAAGTTTTATTGTATCAAGAATTACAAGTAGGGTGAAGTTGATTATTGATATACTGACACAGTGTAATAAAAACCTCTTAATCATTTTAAGTACAGATGATTGAACATAGGTTCCTTGTACATTGCCATTGAACTATATCCCTAGCCACTATAGCTTTACTGGAGAGAAATTTTATATTATCTACTAAATTTTAAATATACATGCATCATGAGCATGGAAATAAACATTTAGCACTTATGTTCAAGATAGATGCACAGAAAAATATTTGCACAAAAGTTTGTTAACAGTAAGAAGTTGCTAATGGCCTTACATATAAAATTTATCATATATTATTTGTGTATGTTGCATATATATATATATATATAATTAATATGTGCCTAAGATAAATCAAGAGATTATATAAACATTCATATTTATAAGATGGACAGTTATATAGAAGATTAGAAGTTTATGCTGTAAAAGTTTGTGCTAAGTAGTTTAGATATGGAGAAATCACCAAAAAGATGCTGCTCTCATAAAAAACTCAATTGCAGTTCCCAGCCCCCACATTGGGCTAACAATTGCTTGTAACTTTAGCTCCAGGGAATTCATCACTCTCTTTTGATCTTCACAGCTGCTGCGGTCACATGTGCAAATACATATATTACCCCTAACTAAAAATAAAAATAAAGGGATAGAGCTACAGCTCATGATGAAGAGTGCTGTCCCCTTTTACAGAAGACCTGGGTTTGGTTTCTAGCACCTCTATCAGAACACTCAGTTTAGCTCCAGTGCCAGAGCTCTGATACCCTTCTGCTTCTGCAGACACCTGTACACACATTGTACACACATGGAATTAAATAAATAACTAAGACTTAAGATCGTTGAGGGTCTAGAGAGATGGCCCAGGGGTTAAGAGCATGGGGTTAAGATCTTCTCATTTATGAAAATAATGGTATCTCACAATGGTCTGTAACTTCAGTCCCAGGGGATTCAGTGCCTTCTGCTGGCATCCTTGGGCACTGCATGCACATGGTACACAGACATGCAGACAAAACACATACACATAAAAATAAATAGATAAGTCAGTAAGTAAATAAATAAAGAAAATCTTTTAAAAGAAGGATTCTTGGTAGAAGCTTCACAGTTGGCCCAGTAGGTCAGGTACTTTATGTAAGCAAGCATGAAGGCCTGAGTTTGGATCACTGGACTCATGCTAAGAGTCATACATGCCATATTATAGCTGTAATCACAGGGTTGGGTGTAGAGAATTGGTGATAGCCTTGTGACTTGTAGTCACCTGTTCTAAATGGATAATGAGCTCTAGGTTTAATGAGAGAACATACCTAAAAAAGGTAGGAGTCTTATTCAGAAGATACTGATGTCAGTGTCTGTTCTCCATAAGGAAAAATAAACCATAGAAACAGAAAAGGCCCCTGCTGTGGAGTTGACATGTTGAGCCCAGATTTTCTTTAAACCATACTACCATAGTATCTAGAAACTATACATGGAAGCCTAGCCAGAAAAATACTTTGACACTATAGGGAAGAACTTTGAGTCAGAAACCTGTTCACTGTTGACCAACATGGAATGATACCTCATTCGAGCCAACTCTTCAGGGAGCACAGCCACAGGACTCTTAAAAGTGGGTTGTCCAGAGGCAGAGCCAACATTTGCAGCCAGGCTTCTGAATGGTTTCCCCAGAGGTGTAACCAAGTTTGTGACCCAGCCTGTGGAAGACCACTTACTCACTAGACAGGCATGTGTGACCAATCCTCACAAATACTGGTGCAAATATCTGGGATCCCAAGAAAAAAATGTTGTATGACAGACCAGAATGTACATAGACTTTATATTTCATCCAGCTCTGTTCTTTACAATTACTCCTCTTCAAGACCCATTGTCAGTTTAGCATCTCAGTTCTGTCTTGCTTTGTTTTCTTGTCTTATTTTCTTACTTTTTTCTTTTTTTTTTTCTGCTTGATTACTCTTTTCTTTACCTTTTGGCAGGCTTTTCCAAGCACAGCCAAAACTGAATTGTATAGGACAGTGGTCCTAAAGTGGGATCTCAGGGCCAACAACCCTGTGTGTGTCTGAGATTGTCCACAATGTACAGTTTTGGGGGCTTGAGAGGTGGTTTGCCAGTTAACAGCACTTGTTGCTCTTGCTTCTAGCACCCATGTCAGGTACCATCCAATTGTGTGTTACTTCAGCTTTGGGATACCTGACCTTCTAGCCTCCAACTGTACCTGTACAAAGTGGCATATTCCCATATGGGGACATACGCATATAGAAATAAATCTTTAAAACAAAATTCTGGAGAAGTAAAACAGGACACAAACCCTTGGATGAATACCAAGAGAACATAAACTGAATGAAATTAGTTAATATAGGTATCAAAGTGAAACTCAAAAGAAATACTGAAAGAATTTTTAAAAGCCAGATAAAATTCTGGAAATGAAAAATTAAATATTGGGTCTGGAGAGACCACTCAGCAGTTAAGAGCACTAATTGTTCTTCCAGGGGACCAGGGTTCAATTCTCAGTGCCCAAATTATGGCTCATAGCCATCTATATAACTTTACAGGTATCTGATGTCCTTTTCTGTTCTCTGTGGGCAACAAGCATCATGTGGTGTACAGACAGACATAAAGACAAAATAGCCATACACATAAAATAATGTGTATGGATGTTTATATGTATGTCTGTGTCACATGTGTGCCTGGTACAGAAGCCAGAAAAGGTGTGGTCCTTTAGAACTTAAGCTACAAGTGGGGTTTTGTTTGTTTGTTTGTTTGTTTGTTTTGTTTTTTTTTGTTGTTTTGTTTTTTTTGTTTGTTTGTTTCCAGAGCTGAGGACCGAACCCAGGGCCTTGCGCTTGCTAGGCAAGCGCTCTACCACTGAGCTAAATCCCCAACCCCTACAAGTGGTTTTGAACCATAATGTGGGTGTTGGGAATTGAACCCAGGTTTTTTGGAAGAACAGATAGTGCTCTTGACCACTGATTTATCTCTCCAGCCTCCATAAAATTAAGAAATTCTTAATTTTCATTAAGAAATGAAAACCTCGATGTCAAATAAAAGCTCTGTTGAAAGCCAATAGAATATATTAAAGGTGGGGACAGAATATTGAGACTTGAACATAGAGTCAAGCAATTAGAAAATTCAGGCACTGGCCAGAATCAAGTAATAAGAAACTACAGATCAGTGAACCATGTGCACAGAAGAATTTCATGATAAAGGCATAAAAATTATCTCCAGGAAAATCATAATAAAAGTAATCTGGAAAGAGATGTCACTCAGATACAGGCAGCATTTAGAACAATAAAGAACTTCCCATGTCATATCAACTGTCAAATCATTACACATATAGAACAAAGAAAGTCTATTGAAAGTTGCAGGGAAAAACTCCAGTTTGCATGTACAGATCCATCATTGTTTGAGTACTGTAAACAGACACAGAAAGACCACACACGGGTACACAGAGAAGGATGTGAAGGGGGGATATACTAGTCTTTCTGATGAGTGTATGCAAACATTCACAATAAAATACCTGCAAGCTGTATTCGAGAACACAGCAAGGGCTGTAGATGTAACTCAGCAGAGTGCTTACCTAATACGTTTGCACTCCAGTATAGAAATCAAGCAGTCACCTCAATGTTTGTAGAAAGGACTTCTGAGAAAATTGCAAGTATTTCCATTAAAATCAGATACGAGTATGTTTACCATCTCTACTTTTATTTAGTATAGTACTTAAACTGCTAAAACAGCAACAAAATGTAAACCTTCTACATTGAAAAATTTTAAACATGTAAGAAATAAATCCGCATTTAAAAGGAGGGTTAAAGATGCTAGAAAATGAATAGATATATCTATTGTAAAAATGACTGTACTACCAAGTGAAGTATATAAGTTCAATATAATCTTCATTAAAATTTCTTATGTATTCTTTACAGAACTAAAAAAAAAAAAAAACCAACCTTGAAATTTACGTGGAAACATAAGCCCTTGTGGAACTGCTAAAGCAGTTCTAGGCAGTAAGAATGTTGGGATTGCAGCTGGGCATGGTGGGTCATACCTATAATTCCAGCACTCAGGAGGCAGAGACAAGCAGATCTCTGTAAGTTCGAGGCCTGCCTGGTCTACACAGTAAGTTCCAGGACAGGCAGGGCTGTTACACAGAGCAACCCTGTCTGAAAAGACAAAACAAACAAAACTAGGAGCATTACTGTCTTGATTTCAAGTTACATCACAGCGCCATAAGAAAAAAAATGTGGTACTGACATACAGCAAGATCAGTGAGACTGAATAGAGGACATACAGTATAAACCCACACAGCTGTAACTCCCTGACTTTTGAGAAAGCATTTTGACAAAAATATATGTGGAAGAAAAGCTGGTTCTAAGAAAATGAGGTATCCATGTATAGGAGAATGAAATTGGATCTCTTTCAGAAATGCTAGCTCCTGAAGATGGACAGACATAATGTAATACCTGAAACATTCAGAGAAAGTAAGAGAAACAGGCAGAACTTTCTGAAATGAGTAGAGGGGCTAGAGAGAAGACTCAGCAGTTAAGAACATTGGCTACTCTTGCAGAGTACCGAGATTTGATTCCTGGCACCCATACTGGCTGACAACCACCTGTCACTTCAGTTCTAGAGGGATCTGATGCATTCTCTGGCGTTCATTGGTACATGGTACATGGACACACATACAGACAAAACACCATACACACAGAATAAAATTAAATATTAAAAGAAAAAGTAAAAATAGATTTATCATATAACCTACCTAAGACGTTTGGTATTATCTCTCTACTTGCTGTGGTGGCACACATCTTTAATCCCAGCACTGGGCAGCAGTGGCAGGCAGATCTCTGTGAGTTTGAGGTCATCTTGGTTATCCAGGACAGCCAGGGCTGTTATACACACAGAAACACTGTCTCAGGCAGTGGGGGATATGGAGGAGTTATCAAAAACATCTCAAGTGAGGAAGAGTTTATTTTGGTTCACATTTTACAAGTGGTGCATCTGGCTTGATGCCAAAGACATGACAGTTTCTACTACCTACATTTGTGGTAGGTCTTCTTACATTAGTGAACCTACATCTAGAGATTCTCACAGACTTGTCCAAGGTTTGTCTCCTGGAGGAATCTAGATCTTTTCAACCTGACAATAACAGTCATCACAAACCCTGGAGTATTTAGCCCTGGAACTCCAGGCTTGATACCTCACAGAAATACCTGCACACCAGTGTTCATTGCTACAACACTCACCGTGACTAAGTTACGGAATCAGCCCAGCCATAGAGTACCAGATAACAACGTGTGAATACGGTGTAAGTTTTCCCAGCCGTATAAAGAACAAAGTTAGACCATTTGCAGGGGGAAAAAAAATAAATGCATCTGGAATAAAAAGTGTTTTAAGTTAGTCCTTGAAAAGAAAATACTATCTTTTCCTGGATCATAGACATAAAACCAAGGTTGTAGATATAATATGTAAACAGACACAAAACTTTCCAAGGAGTTAGCAGTCAGGAGGCAAATGGAGTGAAATAGCTTTTCCACAGTCCATGTATGAAAATGTCCTTATGTAACATACATACTTTTGTGCGTAATGAATACACAAACGATTTTTAAATCCTAAGGGCCAATGAGATGACTCACTGGATAACAGTCACTTAGTGCCACCCAGCGACCTGAGTCCTGTCTTTGGGACCCACGTGATAAGTAGAGCACCAGCTTCAGGAAGTTAACTTACCTCTGACCTTGTACAGTACATGCCCTCATGAATATTCAGTAAGTTTTACCACAGTATGTAGGTAGTGCTGTTTACAAAATGTACAGTAGTATTAATATAATTAGTAGAGATGTGAATGTGTAAAAACGAATAAGAAAGTTTAATTAGAAAAGCGAATTGACCATAGTTTTCCTTGAGGATTGTATCACCAAAACTTGAGTGATGTTAAAAAAAAAAAAGTTCAATTAAATTGAGTTCAATTTAATTTTTAAAATGTATGTTTTGTTTTTACTTATAATTAGAACCCATAATTTTAATTTTTGAAGCTGGGTCTTACTATGTGGTACTGGCTGACCTGAAACTTACAGAGATCCTCTCAGTTCTGCTTTCTGAAAACCATGGTGAAAGGTGTGTGTCACTACTCCTGACCTAGAACCCATAAACATTTTAAATTGTGTGAGTTTTAAAGTATTTAAACTAGAAGTTGTTTATAGGACCAGGCATGGTGGTCTCTGTCTCTCTCTCTCACACTTACACACACGCACAGTTGTGAGCTTCTGTGGGGGTGTTGGGAGTTAAACCTTTGTCCTCTTAACTGCTGAACCATCTCCCAAGCCCCTTTTTGTTTGTGCATGAGTGTGTGGGTGTGTTTGTCTATGTAGGTATGTATGTGTATGCATGCACTAATGCTTTCATGTCTGTGGGCACACAAAGTGAGTACATGTTCATGTCTCCACACTTTATATCCTGAAAATCTGATAATTTAATCAGAGCCATACATTTCTAAGCTTGAGATTAGGAGAGGGATGTTTTTTTATTGAACTCTTTGATTTTGTGTGTGTGCGTGTGTGTGCGTGTGTATAATTACACACACATGGAGGTTAGAGAACAACTTTTGGGAGTCATTTCTCTTCTGGTGTGTGGGTTCTAGGGATCAAACTCTGGTATCTAGATTTGAAGGTGAGTGCCTTTATTCACTGAGCCATCTCACAGGCCTTTTAAAAAAAAAATGTATTCTAAGTAATATCAAGATATCTCTATTAACTAAGAACCTTTTATAAATAAAAATTACCTAAAATATTTACAAGGAACTAACTGCTGTTATTAGAACCTACATTGCATAGTGTCCCTTCCTTTCTCTTTACTGAATTGCTATAAGTTATTGGGACTTGATTATTTGGACACGTCTCAGTGCTCTTACCCATGGTAATTTAGCCTCTGAAGCATAATACAAATAGTTGCCTTTTTTTTATTCAATCAATGCAAATTGAGATCTTACTGGTATATGGCTTAGAATTCTAGTTTTAGAAATGATAAAAGTGTGTGTGTAGTTCTCCAATTAGAAGATTGTAAATTTCAGGGCTGGAGAGAGGGTTTAGAGGTTAAGAGCACTGGCCACTCTTCCAAAGGTCTTGAGTTGAATTATCAGCAACCACATGGTGGCTCATAACCACTGATAATGAGATCTGATGCCTTCTTCTGGCATGCAGGCAGAATAATGTAAACATAATAAATAAATCTTAAAGTAAGATTATAAATTCCTTGCTGTACTGCTGATCTTTAATTTCTGGAAAAAAAATTGTTTTTGTTTGTTTTTGAGACAGGGTTTGTCCATTTAACAGAGCCCTGGCTGCCTGTCCTGGACTTTCTAGACCAGGCTAGCTTTGAACTCGAAGAGATCTGCCCGCCTTCCGAATGCTGGGATTAAAGGGATGCCACCATGCCTGGCCTTCTGAAGAAATTCCAATGATTTTTTTTTTCTTATATTTATATATAATGATATAATCTTGGCCTCCCCCAAAGCACCTAAACTCTAAAGGTTGTTTAGGCCTTGTGTCAATTTTGTTTAATTTCAGCTTTTATTTACATTGAGTAGATTACAGAGTAATCACCATTTAAATTATGTCACTTAGTTGCTTAAAACCAGTTTGTTTGTTTCTTACTGTCAGGTTTTTTTTTTTTTTTTTTTTTTTTTTTTTTTTTTTTTTTTTTTTTTTTGCTTTGTTTTGTTTTTTTTTTCGTTTTAGGCCCTGAAGCAGCAACAACAGAAGAAGCAGCAGCAACAATGCAGGCCAAGCATGTCCATCTCCAATCAACACCTCTCTCTCAAGACTGTCAAAGGCAGTGACTCAGCACCAACCAAACCTGGTAGGTTGTCTGACCATTTTCCCTTTCCAGTGGAATTTTCTTTTTCTCAGCGTATTTATCCTTTTGGTAGTATAAATTTTTATGCTGAGTAAAATATTTATTTTTAAATTACCATATTTATTTGCATAATCTCTGCTGCCACAGGTATAAATCCTAGGATTTATATTAGGTTTTTTTTGGTTTTGTTTGGCTTTGGTTTTGTTTGGTTTGGTTTTGGTTTTTGGGTTTTGGAGACAGGGTTTCTCTGTGAAGCCTTGGCTGTCCTGGACTCACTTTGTAGGCCAGGCTGGCCTCAGACTCATAGAGATCCACCTGCCTCTGCCTCTGCCTCTGCCTAAGTGCTGGGATTACAGGTTTGCCCCAACACTCCCAGTTATAGGAAATATTTTAATATAAAATTATCACATACTTAATTAAAAGTACCATAGTGAAATTTGTATGTAAGAAGGAAATGAACAAGAAACCTTTTGTATATTAGCCCTAGTAACATTTGGAGGCCTGAATTCATTAACCTTATTAAATCTGTTGTATTCAAGGTCAAAGTGAACTCTTCTTCTAGATGCAGGCGGGTGTAGGTAGTGTGTATGTGCAGACTGAGGTCAGAGAACATTCCCCTGTACCATTTATCTTCTGGTAGTTTTGTTTTTTTGTATTATTTGATGGGGTCTCTCACTGGCTTGGAACTTGTGGCTTAGGCCAAACTGGCTGACTAGTGAACCTCAGGAATCCTCCTGTCTCCTCTTCCCAGTACTAGGATTACAAGTGTTCAGTACTATGACTCTTACGTAGTTTCTGAGGATCAAACCTAGAACCTTATGCAACAAGCACTTGTTGGACTTAGCCATCTGTGCAGCTCCAAAGTGACCTCTTTATCAATACTCTCATTCAGTATAGGAAGATGGGGCTGGAGAAATAGCTCAGTCATTAAGAATATGAACTGTTGCTCCAGGCCTGGTGTTGCATGCCTTCAATCCCAGCAGAGGCGGGATGATCTCTGTTGAGTTCGAGACCAGCCTGGTTTACAGAGCCAGTTCCAGGATAGCCAGGGTTACACAGAGAAACCTTGTCTCACGGAAGAAAAACAAAACAAAAAGTCAAAAAACCAAACAAACAAAAAGAATATGTACTGTTTTTGCAGAGGACTTGGCATCGATGCCCAGTACCCACATAGTGGCTCATAACTACCTGTAACTCTAGTTCCAGGGGATCTGATTTTGTCTTCTGATATCTGTGGACACTGGGCTTACAGGTGGGGCAATAATATACATGCAGACAAAATGCTCATACATATAAAATCAAAATAAATTAAAAATTATAAAGTGAAAATTTAGCTATGTAGGCTTTTGAAAAATATCTACCTTTACTTTCCATTGGATGTGTTTTATGGACTTTGAGTGTTTATTGCTTGATTTGTTTTTAACTTCAATTGTTTTGCGATACATAGACTTTGTTTAGCATTATGTAATTTAGTTGAACCCATAAGCTGATTCTATGAACTGCCATAAAAATCAAAGGTCTGAGTCTTAAAAAACTTTTCATTTTTGTTAGAAGAGATACTTAGAGATGCAGGTAAATCATGTGAGAAGATGTAAGGGGTTTTTACAAATCATTCAAGAGGCCTACATTTCTTCATTCATGATTCCTGTAGTTACCATGGAATATAATAGTGTGACTGATTTTTCTGTTTTAATTGTTAGATTTATGGAGGTCTGAATGCATGTAGAAGTGTGAGGCTGACTCATGAGAGTCCTGCTCTCCTTGTACCATGGGGGCCCAGAGATAACTCAGGTTGTCGGGGTTGGTAGCAGCTATCTTCCTAGCCCCTTGGTGGGCTTTGTGTATGAACCTCAGTGTCAGCAGTCTTCACATATTCTTTTCCCTAGCCCTGTGGGAAGGAAAGCAATCTGATGGACAGTCAAGCAGTCCGCAGAACTCAAACTCCAGCTTTTCTTCTTCAGTGAAAGTGGAAAGTTCTCTGCTAGGATTGGGGAAGAAATCTTTCCAGAGGTCTGACAGACTCCACACAAGTAAGTTAGTTTACAAAGACTTGTTTTCAGTACAACAATGTTTCTGCAGTGTGTTCAAAATCATCAGCCACTGGCTTGAGTTTAATGTATAATTTGAATTTTATTTTGAAATGTCAGACATGATTTCATTTTTTTTTCTTGTCTTTTTTTTTTTTTTTGCACTTGTTTGTTTGTTTGTTTGTTTCAAAACAGGTTCTCACTGTATAGCCCTGGCTGTCCTGGAACTTACTCTGTAGACCAAGCTGGCTTTGCCTCCTTAAAATTGTGTGCTGCTATACCTGGCTACACTTTTTTTTGACATTTGGGTCTTTTATAAAAATGTTTTTGATACAAAATTACCTTCGGTTTTTATTTTGTTTTGTTGATTTGCTTCATACTGAGCATTAATAACTCACAATATTGAATGTGTTAGGGAATTGCTTCACCCCTGAGTTAAAAATCTTTAATCCCTAGTTTATCATATTATTTGTTGTCCCCTTTTTTAAATTTTAAAGATAATATCTCACTAATATAGTCTAATTAAAATATCCTGGAATTGGTCTTTAACCTGTAATCTCCCTGCTTCAGCCTCAAAATTGATGGTATTATAGAAAACAGCACCACTTTCAGATTTGACAATTGCTTTTTAAATTTTTTTATTTTTTAATATATATTTTTAAATTTAATTTTATTTATTACAGTGTATTCACTTTGTATCCCTACTGAAGCCCCTTCCCGTGTCTCCTCCCAGTCCCACCCACACTCCCTCTTCTCCCCCTGTGCCCTTTCCCTGGTCCCCTTATAGGGGAGGACCTCCTCCCCTTCTTTATGACCTTAGCTTGTCAGGTCTCATCAAGGCTGGGCTGCATCATCTTCCTCTGTGGCCTGGCAAGGCTTCACCCCCTAGGGGAAGGTGATCAAAGAGCCTGCCACTGGGTTCATGTTCGAGACAGCCCTTGTACCCCTTACTAGGGAACCCACTTAGAAACTGAACAGCCAATGGGCTTCCTTTGGACAGGGGTTCTAAGTCTTCTCCATGCATGGTCCTTGGTTGGAGTATCGGCCTCTAAAGGGCCCAGGTATTTTGGCTCTGTTGTTCTCCTTGTAGAGTTCCTGTTCCCTTCAGGTCTTTCTATCCCCCCTCTTCTTCCATAAAGATTCCGGCACTCTGCTCAAAGTTTGGCTATGAATCTCAGTATCTCCTTCGATACCCTAGTGGGTAGAGACTATGTTTATCCTATAATACATGGCTAATCTCCACTTATAAGTGAGTATATGGCATTTGTGTCTTTCTGCTTCTGGGATACCTCACTCAGGATGATCTTTTGTAGTTCCCACCATTTGCCTGCAAATTTCATGATATCTTTGTTTTTAATTGCTGAGTAGTATTTTATCCTGTAAATGTACCACAATTTGTGTATCCATTCCTCCAATGAGGGACATTAAGTTGTTTCCAGATTCTGGCTATTACGAATAGAGCTGCTACGAACATGGTTGAGCAAACATGGTTGTCCTTATTGTATGGTAGGACATCTTTTGGGTATATGCCTAGGAGTGGTATAGCTGGATCTTGAGGTAGTACTATTCCTAATTTTCTCAGGAAGCGCCAGATTGATTTCCAAAGTGGTTGTACAAGGTTACATTCCCACGAGCAATGGAGGAGTGGTCCCCTTTCTCACATCCTCTTTAGCATGCATCATCCCTTGAATTTTTGATCTTAGCCATTCTGATGGGTGTAAGGTAGAATCTCAGGGTTGTTTTGATATGCATTTCCCTAATGACTAAAGTATTTCTCTTTAAGTGTTTCCCTGGTATTGGATATTCCTCTGTTGAGAATTCTCTATTTAGCTCTGTACCCCATTTTTTAATTGGATTACTTGTTTTGTTGCTTTTTAATTTCTTCACTTTTTTTCTATATTCTGGATATTAGCCTACAATTCCTTTTAAAAGATGGGTAGACTTGATTTAATTGCTTTTAAGAGATGGGTAGAATTGACTAATGCCCTTTACCTTTATTCATTTCATCTTTTTATCTTTGAACTCTTAATTGCCTTTATATTCTTCTATTCATCCTTCATCAGACTGTTTCACAGAGAGATCTGTTATCAGTCATTTTGTGGTTTATTTCTCTTTGAACCAATAAGTTCTACATCATTTTTCATTTCTATAGATAAAAAGATAAAAGGGCTTATAATTAAATATTATAAACTGAACTCCCTTGAAAATCTCACTAAAATGAGAATATGGACAAAATGATTTAATCAGTATGAGTGAAGGAAACAGCCTAATGGGCAGGTGTCAGCAAAGATTGAAAAATGGAAATTGGATGAAGGTGAAAAGGAATTGTCATTAATAAAGTCAACTATGGCTACAGACCATGAAAAGGGCTCAAGAACTGGAAAGATGGATGACAGAACAGAAAGGTGAGGCATAGGGTTGAAAAAAAAAGAACCTTGTTTAAAAGTAAAGGAGAAGCATTTTGGTACTTAACTCTAAGTAGAAGACAGTTTATTATGTGGTGAAATTGAATGCAGCTCCATCAAATTTAGGAATATCACATGAGAACTGCAGGCCAGTGATGAGGCACTGTGTAGTTTGTTGCAGTAACAAAATACACGACAGGAGCAACCTCAGGATGTTGAGAGGTTTATTTTGGTTCCTAGTCTGGAGGTAACAAGTAGAAAAAGCATAACAGTAGTACTAGTTCTTTTATGTGACAGAAGGAGCAGGATGGTCGCTTGCTTATGGTCAAGGAAGGCAGATATCTCAAAGGACCGTCCCAGTAACCCACCTCTGCCTGCCCTGCCTCCTCCCCCAAAACGCCACAATCAGTGGCCCACGGTGTCAGGAGCTTGTCGGGCATTTCACATTCATAGTTTCCCAGGACCTATTCTGGAATTTGGGGAATTAGGTCAAATACAAATAAGTCTGTTGCTTGTCTTCCAGAATGCGTAATGGAGCATATTTCAACCACCACTACATCCTTCTCCTTCTGCTGTGTCCTAGATCATTTGATCAGTATCTGAAGAAATAGGAAAGCTCAAGATAATTGTGCAGGCACATTTACAAATTCCCAGAACTTTTGAATCTGTTAGATTCCTTTTATTGCACATGGTGGTGTATACCTATGATCCTATCCCTTGGAGACTGAGGTAGAAGTATTACATGTTGTATATACTATGCTACATTCTAAGATCCCGCTTAAAAGGATCTTTCTTCCTCCTTCCCTCTATTTTGACAATCTTTATCTCTTGTGTACTATTTATTATCATTTGGCTTGAAAAGGTTTTTTTTTTAATTTACTGTAATTTTCTTGTATGAGAAAGTATTTTGCAGTTATTTTTATTTCCATATATATTATTATGTGTCATTAGGCTATGATACCTGTACCTGTGTGGTGCAGTGATAAGCAACAGACTGAAACTGCCGTTTCTTGCTTCAGTTTGTGTTACATTGTAACTCAATCCTGTAATTTGAGAATGTATTATTAGCAGTGGAATACTAATAATTACCTAGTTCTCTGTGCACAGCAGAATGTTCCTGTGAGAAGCTCTGTAGAAGTTTGAAGCCAACTTAGGCAGAGTAATAAGATCTCGTTTTAGAAATTAAGAGTAGTAACCATTATTTGCTTCACAGAGCTGTAAACAAAGTAAGCAAGTTAATATAAATAAATGTTCAGAATAGTGCATGGCCCCTAGTGACACTTTAATAACTTTGCTGCTGGTATTACTGTGGTAATTGTTACTATTGGTATTACTTGAAATACACCGAGACATGCACTTAATAGTATTTGGAATCCTGCTTGTTCCATGAATTCTGAATTAGTGAATCAAGGTTATTAATCTAAAATAATGAAGCCTGTGGCTGGGGTGATGGCTCAGGATTTAAGAGTCTGTACTGCTCTTTCACAGTTTATTTTCCAGCACATCTCAAGGCTTTCAGCCACCTGTAACTCCAGCACTTGGGGATCTGTTTCTCTCCTGGTCTCCACTGCACTCAATTACACACACCCACACACAAATATACACATAATTTAAACATTTTTAATTAAAGTAATGCATTGTTTTATGTACCTTTTTTTGGTAAGCTTGGCTAATGATTGTGCAAATATACTAAAGTATATTTAGTATGGGGATTTGTCTAGTCGTGACACTGTCTTACACAAGCACATGATTTGTTTGGTAAGAGCCATCATTCCAGCTACAGGATTCATTATTTTAGATTAATAACCTTGATTCAAAAAATAAAAAATTCATGGAGCAAGTAGGGTCCTCCAGCCACAGCATTTCAAATGCTCAGATTATAGATATGTACCACTGTGTTCTGTCCTTTTAAGTATTTTAAAGCTATTTTGCTTTAGATGTTTTTATGTTTAAAATGATCTGTTGGCCATTTATATTGAAGTTTAGCTTGAATTGTATAGCAGCAAGCCCTGATGTATTATATAGCAAGATCCTATCCACAAAAATAAACTAAGATCTTCCTGTTGAATTTCTAATCACTATTTACTTTACCAACCAGATATAAGTATCTTGTTGGATATTAATGAGTGAGTGACACGCAAGCTCGCCAGTAGTTAGATTTTTTCCTTTGCAGTAGATTGACTCCCAACTTTCTGAGGAGCTGCTACACTGATTTACATAGTGGCTGTACAAGTTTGCACTCCCACCAGCAATGGAGGAATGTTCATTCCCCTTGCTTCACATCCTGGTCAACCCATGCTTTCACTTGTGTTTTTTGTTGTTGTTGTTGTTTTGTTTTTTAAGATTGGTTTATTTATTATTTATACAGTATTCTGTCTGCATGTACACCTGCATGCCAGAAGAGGCCACCAGCTCTCACTACAGATGGTTATGAGCCAGCATCTGATTGCTGGGAATTGAACTCAGAACCTTTGGAAAAGCAAGCCGTGCTCTTAACCTCTGAGCTCTCTCATCAGCCAATTGCTTGTATTGTTAATCTTAGCCATTCTGACAGGTCTAAGAAAGACTCTGAAAGTAGTTTTGATTTGCATTTCCCTGATGGCTAAGATGTTGAACATACAAGTGTTTCTCAGCCATTTGCATTTTCTGTGTTTAGAGAAATTCTGTGTTTAGAATCCTCATTAGAGGATTATTTGGTTTTTGCAATCAACTTTCTTGAGGATATTTTGGATATTAGTCCTCTATCGGATATATAGTTAGTAAAAAAAATTTTCCCCTTTGGTAGGCCGCTGCTCTGTTGAAATGACAGTGCCCTGTGCCATGCAGAAGCTTTTAAGTTTGATGAAGTACTATTTCTTAATGATCTGTTAATACCTGCAATATTGGTATTCTGCTCAGGAAGTCTCCTCCTGTGCTAATTGTTAGTTCAAGGCTACTCCCTACTTTCTCTTCTATCACATTCAGTGTGCCTGGTTTTATGTTGATGTCTTTGATCCATTTGCGATTGAGTTTGTGCAGAGTGATGGGTATGGATGTATTTATATTCTTCTACATGCTGACGTCCAGTTTGACCAGCAACATTTGTTGAAGATGCTTGTTCTTGTATTTATTTCTGGCTTTTCTATAAAATATCAGGTGTCTCTGAAGTATGTAGATTTATGTCTGAGGCTTCAAGTTGATTCCATTGATTGTCTTAATATGCTTTTATGCTGATACCATACTGGTTTTATTACTGTAGCTTTATAGTATAGTTTGAGATCATGACCGGTGAGGCTTCCCACAGTTTTTATTGTTCAGGATGTTTTAACAATCGTAGGTTTTTGTGTTTCCATATGGAGTTGAGAATTGTTCTTTCACGATCTGTGAAGAGTTGTGATGGAGTTTTGATGGGCATTGCATTGAGTCTGCACATTGCTTTGGTAGGATGGCCACCTTTACTAGGTTGATCTTACCAATCCATAGCATAGAAAAATTTTCCATCTTCTGGTCTCTTCTGTTTCTTTCCTCAAAGACTCTAAGTTTTTATCATATAAGTCTTTGACTTTCTATTTCATAATGGGTTACAAACACTTCTTTAGATTTTTTATAGTCTGCCTTGTTCTAAATTCTTTCATAGTTAAATTCACTGCCAAATTGTTTCTCTTCTCTGTATCTTTTAATAAAGTTTTGCTGTGTAGCCCCTTCTGCCTGCCTTCAAACCTCCCTGTCCTCCTGCTTCAGATTGTTTGTAAACCCAATTGCTCGGGTTACAAAAGAACACCCATTACTCTTTTTGTTGTTGCTGTTTTTTAATTTTTGTTTCCTTTCTTTCTTCTTTCCCTTTTGAAAAAAATTATTTTTTTTTATTAATTATCGGTTATTCACTTTTCTCCAGCTGTAGTCCCCTCCCAATCCCACCATCCCTCTCTCATCTCCTCCCATGCCCCTCCCCAAGTCCACTGATAGGGGATGTCCTCTTCCCCCTTCCATCTGACCCTAGCCTATCAGGTTTTTTTTGTTTTTAAAGAAAGGATCTTAATGTAGCTGAGGCTAACCTTAAACAGTCCTGAATCTCTCATCTACCTTTCAGTGTTAAGATTACAGTACTCTTTTGTTGTTTCTTTTTTGTATGAAATCTTTTGTCATTATATGTTCATGGAAGCTATTATCTTTGTCTTCTTATGTGTTTGGAACATGGGGGAGAACTCATGATCTCCCTGCCTCTGCCTCACTAGGATTTTAGGCATGCCCTCCTATTGTGGACCCCACTCTCACAGTGCTGGAAATAAAACACAGAGCTTGCACATGCTGAGCTACATCCCCCGCCCATCATTGTCTTTGATAAATATTCCTCCCTCCACCTTAGGCTCTTCAAGACAGGGTTTCTCTTTGCAGCCCTGGCTGTCCTGCAACCCAGGCTGGCTTCAAATGCACAGAAATTCACTTCTCTCTGCTTCCTGAGTGCTGGGATTAAAGGCCACCACTGCCCACCTGATAAATATTCTTATAAATTTTGTTCACGAAAAGATTTCTTTTTCTAATTGTAATATATTGTGTTTTTAATCCTACTGCTATTTTTATGTTTCTAGTAATTTAAGAGAATGGGAAAGGAGCAACATTTAAAGAAGTTAGTTACACATTTATCAAAAGTTTATCTTCTGGACAACCGCCAGGCAGTTGGCTCAGCAGTTAAGAGTGCTGATTGCTCTTCCAGAGGACCCAAGTTCAATTCCTAGCACCCACATAGCACCTCACAACTGTCTATAACTCCAGTTCTAAGGGATCTGCCACCTTCACACAGACATGTAGCAAAAATACCATTGTACCTAAAAGTAAATAAATCTTTAAAACAAACCAACAAACCTGTAACTTCCTTAAATGTTGCACTTTCCCATTCTCTTAAATCTGTGTGTATGTGTATCTGTGTATGTGTGTTTTGTGTGTGGTGGGGGAGTAAGCATGGAGGTTATGCACCAGGCCATTTGTCTTCTATCACTCTCTGTTTTAATCTTTCAAGACAGGGTAGATTACCAAGTCTGGAGTTCACAGTTTTTCAGCTAGACTGGCTGACCAGCCAGACCCCTGGGAATTCTCCTGCCTCTCCTTCTCCAACCCAAAAATAATCTCTGGGGTTACATGGATATGGGCACACCTGACTTTTTATGTGGATGCTATAGATCTGAACTTAGCCAATGATTCATCTCTTCAGCCCCAAATTCTACTTCTTAATCTTTAGTTGGTCATATGTTAAACCTTCTCATTCTAGTTCCGTACTGTCCCCCGTCCCCCCCCCCCCACCTCTAAGCTTCTCAAAATAATTTACCTTCTTGTATTCTGGATAAATTTCTTGATTATATATTTTAAACTCTAATTCTCTTTAATAATATCATTTGTACTCAACTGTTTTTGTTTGTTTGTTTGTTTGTTTTTGAGACAGGGTTTCTCTCTGTATAGTCCTGGCTGTCCTGGAACTCTGTCTATAGACCAGGCTGGCCTTGAACTAAGAGATCCACCTTCCTCTCCTCCCAAGGCTGGCTTTAAAGACATGTGCCAACACTGTCTGACATACACAACTTTTTTGTTTTGTTTTGTTTTTTTGAGACAGGGTTTCTTCATGTAGTTTTGGCTGTCCTGGTTTGTTAACCAGGTTGGCCTTGAACTCACAGAGATCTGCCTCCTGTTTCCTGAGTGCTGGGATTAAAGGCATGTGCCACCCTGCCCAGCTCATGTGTAACATTTTTAAGTCTGATGTTTTGTTTTTGCCTTGTTTTTAGGTTATAATTTATTTTTTGAGAACTTAGTAATTCATAAATGCCTCCTCCCAACTAATTTCCCTGGCACTATTCTCCCCCACTTTCAGGTTGTAGCTTTTTAAAATAATAACTCACTGAGTCCAGATAGTACTGCTCATGTATGTATCTGTGTGGGAACATTCACTTTGGCATGGTCAACCTACTATAGACTACACTCCTAAGAGAAACTAGCTCTCTCTTTCTTAGCTGCAACTGTAGAAGCAACACCAAAGCACCACAACATCTTAAGTAACATTACTAATCTTTGTGAACTATTATCTGTATATCTTGTTACTTTTTTAAAGCAAAAATGCAGATCATGCTAGCCTAGAACTCCCTTTATAGTCCCTGGTCGCCTTGAACTTCAAGTCTTTCTGCCTCAGCCTCCTAAATGCTGGAATTACAAGCATGTACACCACATCTGGCTTGGATTTTCATTTAAAAATCTTTAGCTGTGTGTGTGTGTGTGATTGTGTTTGTACATGGGTGTGGCCATGTTTGAGTTATAGTGCTTTCATGGAGGTCAGAGGATCGTTTTAAATGTTGGTCCTTGTTTTCTACATTGCTTAATGCAGGGCACCCTCCCCCTTACTTATTCATTTGAACATTTCGTATATAAACACAAGTTTCCCTTGATTTAATACTTCTCCTTCCCAACTTTATGCCATCTTTTTTTTTTTAATTAGACGTGGTGGATTATATATTTAAAAAGGGAAAGAGAGTTATGAAGTTATAAGGTCTCTGCTGTTTGCTGCTGTAAAGACCGGGTTAGCTGGCCCATGAGCTTTCTGTCTACTGCCCATCTTGCTATAGGAGCCATGGGCTTATAGACACAGGCTACCACATCCAGTTTTTAAATAGGTTCTGGAGATTCTGACTCAGATCCTTATACTTGCATGTCAAGTGTTTTACCCACTCTACCATCTCCTTAGCCAGAGTTTGATTTCAAAAGAATGTTTTAATGTGTATATGTGTGCTTATGTGGGTTTATGTGCACCAGCTGCATTCTGGTTCCTACGGAGACCAGAGGCCTCAGTTCCCAAGGAGCTGGAGTTGTAGGCAGTTGTGAGCCACATGATGCTGGTAATCAAACCTGGATCCTCTGTAGGAGCAAGTAATGCTCCTAACCACTGAACCATCTCTCCAGCTCCAACTATCTACTTAAAAAAATAGCAATTAAAAAATGTGCTATTTGTCATTTCTCATAAACTTGCTTAATTAAGGGAGAAATATCTGTTAGGTGTGATGAACAATTTTTACCATTAGAGATCTATTTTTATAAATTTTTTTGTTTATTATAAATGATCAGAATTTATTTTCTTTGCCTTAGAAGACATTTCTAAGATTTTTAAGTTATTTTTTTACAATGTAATGTTTAATTTTGATTTTTTTTCTTTCATGTTTACTTTCAGTACTACATGGCAAGCTACAGTTGGTAACAAAACTGTGAAAGGGGATCCAAGTGATAAATTATTATTTTCTACATTCTGTAGGACAAATGAAAAGGACTAAATGTGCTGATATTGATGTTGAGACACCTGACTCCATTCTAGTTAATACTAATCTTCGAGCACTGATCAACAAGCACACCTTTTCAGTTCTTCCTGGAGATTGCCAGCAGCGCCTGCTTTTATTGCTTCCAGAGGTGGATCGACAGGTGTGTCATATCAAGCATAAACAATTCTCTAACTGCATGAGGTTCTCATTATTATCATTATCTCATATTTTCTAGGCTGTTCTTAAATTTTTGTAGCTGAGGATGTCTTACACTCTTAGGTTTACTTCCTGAGGTTCAGATTACAGAAACGTGTCAGCATGCTGAGTATATGTACTGCTAGGGTACAATCCAGGGCTTTATGTATGCTAGGCAAGCACTCAATTAACTGAGTTACATGCCCAGTTCTCAAGACTTTTAGAATATCTTTTTATGGCCAGGCAGTGGTGTCATGTGCCATTAAACTCAGCAGAGGTAGAGGTCTTCCTCACCTACAGTGCCAGTTCCAGGATAGTCAGCTACACAGAGAAATGCTGTTTAAACAAAAACAAAAAGAGAAGAAACCAGGTGGTGGTAGTACTTGCCTATAATCCCTGTGCTTGGGACAAAATGGAGACAGATGGACAGACTTGACAGAGGCAGACAAATCTTTTGAGTTCGAGGTCAGCCTGATCTAAAAAGTGAGTTCCAGGACAGCCAGGGCTACACAGAGAAACCCTGCACAAAAAAAGCAAACAAATAAAAAAATATTTTTATGTATTTCTATAAAAATGTGATATTAATACTGTTGTGTAACTTTCCTTGGAAAGGTATGAACAAACATACCAGAGGTGGTACCAGTAAAAGAAATGGTACCACCCAAGTTTAGCTTAGTCAACCAGTGAGTTTATTGGCATTACTTTACAGGACCATGGATTACTCTGTTAGAGCAGGATTATAAGAAAGTCTCCCCTGACATTGGTGATTACTCAGAACCTGCATCTCTAGAGCTCTTCATCCAGTAAACAGTTGGCCTGCCCAGCTGGAGAGTTTATAGCTTTACATATGGCCCCCCCCCGTCCAGTAACCTTCCTAATGCCGTGACCCTTTAATTTAGTTCCTCAAGTTGTGGTGACCATAAAATTATTCTTGTTACCACTTCATAGCTCTGATTTTGTTCCTCTATGGAGATTTGCCAAAGGGGCAACCCACTGCTCTGGAGTCTTGTCTCCTTTGCTTCTGAAGCTTCTGAAGTATCCCTCAGTCCTTGAGTAGGGAATGTCTCCGTGCAAAGGCAGTGCTACACAACTAAGTTAAAATAATTGTCTTAGCAGGTGAATTTTATAATATAAGCCTTATCATAGGGAGATGGTTGCATTCCCTTATTTGAAATTGAAGATTAGAAAATAGGGTTGGAGATAACAGGCGGCGGTAAAATGCATGTGTAGAATGCAAGAATTCAAGCTTCATCCCTAGTGCCAAGAAGAAAAAGAAAGAAAGGGAGGGAATTAAGAATGTAAAGAAAAATCACCAGGGTATGGGAAATAGAGGTGAAGGGAGGGAGGTAAGGGGGAAAAGAAAGATAGTTGAATAGTTTTCTGTTTGAGATACAGGCATCAATAGAATCTAGTTCAAGAGTTCAGTTGTCTTGTTCCATTATCAACAGGATATTGCCTCAGTGAAAGGGAAATGGTTATGCTCAAGCCAAAGATGTGAGTTCAGGAAACCATACACAAGAAGTATATAGAACGTAGACTATTAGTGATAGTTAGGTATGTTCCTTTTTCATAGAAAAATCTTTTTTAAATAGGCATTGGTTTTTTTTTTTTTTTTTAATAATAAAGAACTTATAAAGACCTAATACAAGTTTTTAAAGAAAGAAAACTAGGAAAAGTAAATACCAAAGGTTTGAGAACTGCCAAAATAGTGATTAGAAAGATGTTGGTTTATCCTAGGTATAAAGTAAAAAGTCTCAAAATGCTTTCATCAAAGAAAATGGCTAGTATGTTTTACTTCTCTGTGAACAAGAGGTGGGATCATTATGCTTTTTCTAAGCTTATTCTCATGGATTTTTAAATTTTATTTTTATATCTTTGTGTGTGTATCTGAGTACATGTATACTGTTTGCGAGTGCCCACAGAGGCCAGATAGGGGTGACAAGAGTCCACAAAGCTGCAGTTACAAGTATTTTGGACAACTTAACATGGGTGCTTGGAACCAGACTCAGGTCTTTCGGAACAGCTCTTAACTGCTGAGCCATCTCTCCAGTCCCTATTCACCTGCAATTTTTATATATTTATTTATTTGTTTAATTTCTTCCAGGCTTGGTGGTAAGGCCTGTAATCTCATCTAAGTGGAATAACAAGATAAAAGAATTCCAAGTTTAAGGCCTCTTCTTACCACATTGCAAGTTCCAAGGAGCTTGGAAAATTTAGCAAGATCCCTTCTCAAAATTAAAAAATAATAATAATAAATTTAATTTAGGTGAGCTAATCATACCTCCCAGTACTTGGAGATGAAGGCAAGAGGATTAGGATTTCAAGACCTTAGCTACATAGGACCCTGTCTCAAAACAAACCAGTAACAACAACAAAAAGACATGGGAGGACATGAGTAGAGGACTCATTCAATAAGCTCGTTGTCATGCAAGCTTTAGGACCATAGTTCGGATCCACAGCACGCACTTAAAAGCCTCCTGTAATCTCAGTACTGGGCAGGACAAACTGAGGAACTCAGGCTTCGTGAGAAAGCCCATCTTAAAGTGGAGAGTGATTGAGGTAGATATAACACCCCTCCCCAGCGTACACATGCACCGTACACATGGGCATACACAAATGTAGCAGACAAAAAGACAGTGGACAAGTTCATTGCCTAGCACATGTGACCTCAGAGGTTCAGGCTGGGCATGCTTCACACCTTTAATCCCTGCACTAAGGAGACAGACACAGCAGATCTCCATGGGTGCAAGCCTGGCCTGTTGTCTTGAACCCCCACCCCCAAAAAAGGCAACATGACAGGAAGGCATTTTCTCTCCTTTGTAACAACACACTGTATTCCCTAGTTTATAATAAGGGAAAGCTGTACAAATCAGTATAGCTGACTGACTACAAAGTCAAAGTGAAGTGTTTCTTGTTTTCAATTTTTTTTGTTTGTTTTTGTTTTTGTTTTTGTTTTTTTTTTTTCTTTTGAGTTAAGGTTTCTTTGTGTAGCCTTGGCTGTCCTTGAACTTGCTATATAGATCTGGATGTCCTGGAACGCAGAGATCTGCCTGCCTCTGCCTTAGCCTCTGCCTCTGCCTCAACTGTGGGCTTAAAAGTGTATACCACCATTTCCAGCTTGAGGTCTGTTTTCTATAAGACTTACTTTGATGCCAGTTTCTTCATGCTATAATTAGCATTGTTAAAACAGTCCAGAGTCCTTTGGCTAATTCTGCTAATCAGATAGTCTTCCAGCAGTATGGACTAAAGGAGATCTGTTCCTAGTGACTCATTCCTTACCTTCTCTTTTCAAAAAAGTTACTTTGGAGGATACTCATCAAGTTAATTGGTTTGTTGCTGTAGTTGTTTTGGTTTGGTTTTGGGGTTTTGTTTTTTTTGTTTTTTTGTTTTTTTTTTTTTCTCAAGACAAGTTTCTCTTGTAGCCTTGGCTGTCCTGGAATTCACTCTATAGACTAGGCTGGCCTGGGACTCACAGAGATCCACCAGCCTCTGCCTCCCTGAGTGCTGCAATTAAAGGCATGTGCCACCACTGTCCATCTTCATCTAGTTAATTCTTGATAGGAGAAAAGGAGATTGAAGTTTCAGCATGGTTTTTAAGGGACCTGGTTGACTTTGTGGGGTGTTGTTGTGTTCCTAGGTCCTGTGTTTTGTATTATTCCTACCCCCAAGTACAAATGTTGGTGGTTAATAGGCTAGAAGTAATATATTAAGCGTAACTAATGGCCTCTTTGTGGAAGTCTGATGGCATTTTCTCAGAAGCACTCATGACCCCTTCTGATAGAAGATTGCTACATGTAGTTTGTTGTGATGGTGGTGTTAAAGATTTTTTTTTTATGTGTATGAGTGTTTTGCTTGCGTATATGTATAGGTGCAATACATGTATGCCTGGTGCCTTAGGTGGCCAGAAGAACTATAATTATGACATCTTTAAGTTGTCATGTAGGTGCTGGGAACCAAACCTGGGTCCTCTGCAAGAGCGAAAAGGTCTGTTAAACCACTAGCTGTCTCTATCTCCTGCCATGTGTAGTTTTAATAAAAGGGACCTTAGGAGTTTTCTAGTTCAACTTCCAACAGATGGCACTCCTATAGGGTTGTGTTGTTGTTGTTTGTTAGTTTGTTTTTTCAATGGGAAGTTAGTTGACCAGTATTCGGGTTAAAATAAGCAAAGTGTGTGATACTGAGAAGACACAATTTCAATTAAATGAACTTGTAGGTTAGGTTACTGTATGTGTCAATGTTGATAATGTTTACATTGAAAATATTGTAAACAAAGTATTTTTTGTACATTATTTGAATAGAAACTTTTTCCATACCATTTTAAATAAGACTTAATGTTTTTTAAAAACCAAGGGAGAAAATTCAGATTCTAGATGTATAGGTTTTTTGGTTGGTTGGTTGGTTGGTTTGTTTGTTTTTAATTTAAACTTTTCTCATGTCCTGTGGCGTGGTTTATTGGGTAAAGGGATTTGCAGTCAAGCCTGACAACCCAAGTTCAATCCTAGGACTCAACATGGGGAAAGGAGAGAGCTAACTCCTGTAAGTTGTCTCCTGACCTCCACACAGATGTCACTGCTCCACACAGATGTCATTGCACATGGTAGATAAACACACACACAAACAAGTATAATAAAGTTGTGTCTTCTTCCCCTCCCCCCAATGCTTTGCACTCTATCCTGGAGCTACATCCCTAGGCCACAAGAAAACGAGTCAAAGTTTTTGGCAAAGCATCAGAAACAAACATAGTAGACACTTGGGTTCAAATATAAGAGCTGGGACCATGCATTAGTTGTGATCATGCCTCACAATTTGATGAAAATAAACAGCCTAATAGAAAACTAAGAAAGTAATAGGAACTGACACTTCACAAGACCACCAAAAAAAGACCTCCATGTTTAATAACCATGCAACAACAGCAGACAACACAAGAGTCAGGAAATCATGTATAATTTCAAACTCATCATGTTGAAAAAAATTAAATTACATGCTGATCTTGTTGGCAAGGAAAAATATTGTATATTCATATAGTGCTTGACGTTTAGCATTTTTTTAAAAATTCATTTATTTTATATTAATTAGTATTTTACTTGTGTTTATGTCTGTGTGAGAGTGGAGCAGGAGTTACAGACAGTTGTGACCTCTACTGTGTGGGTGCTAGGAATTGAACCTTGGTCCTCTGGAAGATGACTCTTAACCCCTGAGCCATTTTTCCAGCGTGGAGTTTTAGCATTTTAAGAAAGTAGTACAGTATCTACTTACACACTAACTTTGTTTTGTTGTAGAAATTCGGTCCTTAGAAATAAAATCGGTAGTTCAGCAGGACAAAGTGGCACACTCCTTTAACCCAGCCCTTAAGAGGCAGATCTCTGACTCAAGGCCATACACCCTGTTTCAAACAAACAAAACAAAAAAGCACTGGTACATTCATTTCTGCAAGGATATTTGTTTCAGCTTTATTAATTATGTGAAAACATTGGTAACAGACTACATGTTTACCATTAGGAAACTGGTAAATTAATTGAAACACATTCATACAATGAAATAATACGCAGCAATTTCAAACAAGCTAACTATATGCCAGTTGACTTGAATAGACTTTCACAATGTAGTCTGTGAGAAAACGAAGTTACAGTGTGTTATATATAACTTAGTACTAAATAATAAACTCTGCTCAGAAGTAAAAAAAAAAAAAAAAAAAAAAAAAAAAAAAAAAAAAATTACGGGGGCTGGAGAGATGGCTCAGTGGTTAAGAGTACTGTCTGCTCTTCCAGAGCTCATGAGTTCAATTCCCAGCAACCACATGGTGGCTCACAACCATCTATGGTGAGAACTGATTCTCTGTTCTGGCAGGTATAAATGCAGATAGAACACTCATATACATATAATAAATAAATCTTATTTATTTAAGTATTTAAGTGTCATTCAATGCACAGTATTTTTCCAGCATTGTGGAATGGAGTTGAAAGGGGAGAAAGGAAAAGAGAGAGGTACATGGGAAAAGATTTGTCTCTGTTTTTTTAGACAGGGTTTCTCTGTTTAGCCTTGGCTGTCCTGGACTTGCTTTGTAGACCAGACAGAATTCAAACTAAAGAGATCCGCCTGGCTCTGCCTCCCCAGGACAGTTATCATGCCCAGCTAAGGAATTTTTTTTTTTTTTAAGAGAAAAACAGTTATACGGATAGTAAATAGTAAAAAGAAGGAGCCAGCCATGCTTCTGTAGGATGGGTTGTGAAGTGAAAAAGTAAATACCATCTCACTTTTTCTTTGAACATTTTCCCTGGCTTGCTCTTTGATCTAGGTTGGTCCTGATGGCTTGATGAAGTTGAATGGCTCAGCCCTTAACAATGAGTTCTTCACTTCTGCAGCCCAAGGCTGGAAGGAAAGGCTCTCAGAAGGTAAATGTTGTGTGCTGTAACTCTCAGGATCTGTGTGTGCCTCACTACATGAGACTGGAACAAGTTTAGAAGGTGATCCTCTAGAGGCACACAACTTAGAGAATGAAAACATACATACACCCCCACACACACTTGTCACAGCGCTAGTGGCAGTGGGACCTGGGACACTGGAGCCAATAAATGAAGTAGACTAAACTCTCATACAAGAGACAACTTTATTCAGAGCATCAGACAATATAAATTCTGAAGGTTAAGGGGAGTCACATGGGTAAAGTGTCCAATTATAAGGGCATATAAACAAAAACAGTAACAGTTATAATGAATAATAATCTGAGGTAAACTCACTCCTATCTGATGTACCCAGGAGGGGCAGGAAAGTACAATTCAAGAACAATTCTTTGTTTTTGAAGAGGCTGAGTTCACAAGACTCTTGTCTTGGTTCTAGGAGTTTCTCATAAGCACTTAGAAATTTCACATACCTCCATTCTTGGGACTGTGTCTTGGACTGTCTGTTTATTAGTTTCATTCCATTGGGAAATAAATTAAAAATTTGATGGTAGAGGTGAAAAGAAATCTTCATGGCATATGGTGCTTGTAACTGGAGGAAGATACTTTGGAGAACACCCTGAGGACAAGTACTGTGGGTCTTAGCTGCATATTAAAAACTACAGGTTTATGTGGCTCTGAGGCATTTCTATCTACTTTCTTTCTCTCTTATTTGGGAAACTTGTTGCTTTGACAAGAAAGTATTCTGCATGGTATGAGTTGTGATTGGAAACTATGAATACTGCTTTTCTGTTTATATCATTCTGTTGATACATTGCAGGTGAATTTACTCCAGAAATGCAGGTAAGAATTCGACAAGAGATTGAGAAGGAGAAGAAAGTAGAGGCCTGGAAGGAACAATTCTTTGAAAGCTACTATGGTCAGAGGTAAGCTAAAGCAGACTGTAATCCAGACACTAATTTCTACACATGTCATGTGACGCCTCCATGTTTTCACCTTATTAGAAAGTATAGTGCCTAGTTCTTTGTAATTTTTATTACATGAATTCTTTTTCATTAAAAACAGCTTTAGCCAGGAGGTGGTGGCGGCAGCACACGCCTTTAATCCCAATTAGGGAGCAGAGGAAGGCTGGTCTCTGAGTTCAAGGCCAGTCTGGTCTACAGAATGGGTTCCAGGACAACCAGACTACATGGAGAAACCTTGTCTTGAACAAAAACAAAACAAAAAAGTAGGCTTTTATTTTGGTTTGGTTTTGCTTTTAAAGAATCATGACTGTACAGAATTGTATCACTCTTAGTCCTTGATCCTTAAATTACGTTGTAGGTAGAATGGGTTCCTCTTGCTTGAAAAAATGGTTTGAAAGCTGGCAGTGGTGGTGCATGCCTGAAATCCCAGTACTCAGGGAGGCAGAGGCAGGCTGATATCTGTGAGTTTGAGGCCAGCCTGTTCTACAGAGTGAGTCTAGGACAGCCAAGGCTACATAGAGAAACCCTGTCTTGGGAGAAAAAAAAGAAAGAAAAAAAACATGGTATAAATTTTCTTCTTCTTTTTTTAATCTTAAATTGCAAAAGACTGGTTTCTAGTAATTTCATGAGATGGAGTAATATTTAAGAGTTCTGTGCATTTTTATAGTGACTGTCCAAAATGTAAAATTCAAAACCAGTCAGGAATCCTAAGAATCATGTAATGTGGGCCATTATACCAAACATGTAATTAAAGTCCTTCTTCTGTGCCTGGGAGACGTGCATCACCAAATCAAGACACACTCTTTTATTTTTAAAGGTCTACAGTCTGAAACAACTTTTTTTTTTTTTTTAAATCTTTAGACTGAAAAAAACAAAACAAAACAAAAAAACTCAATCAAATTTTATTGGAGACATTTAATGGATAATATAGATCTTTTTGGTTTGAATAGAATTACATATTCCAACTCCTGTTTTTTAGTCTTCTTTCTGCATAGCAGTAAAAGACTTCATCAACCACAGACTGAGAAATTAAGGGCTTTTTCTTAGCTCCAAGTGTAGTGTTTATTGTTCCCCTTCAAAGTCACTTAAGATAGATTCTTACTGGAATTAAGAGCCTCAACTACTGATTTTTCTACATTAAGATATAAAATTGATGGTGAATGTATTATTATAAGTTACAGTAATTCTTTGGGTGCACATGCCACAGTGTCTTTTCGAAACCAGAAGACAGCTTTTGGGGGATTGGTTTTCTTCAGCATGTGAGTTCCCTGGTTTGAACCTAGGTGGTTAGGGAGGTACCTTTTCTTGCAGAGCTATCTCACTGGCCCTAGACAGACTTTTTTTTATTACTAATTCTTTTAAGGTTCCAGGGAGGGTTTAATTGATTGTTGCTTGCTAAGTAATAATATAAAACATTAAAGAGAGTCACTGATAACCATTAAAAACTAGCGTCACAGTTTGCCAGACTGCACTGTGCACGTCCCAGCTGACTTCACCCCTGAATACCTCAACAGCATAACAACCTCAGAACTTTACACCTAGACTAAGTGGAATTTAAACAAGCTCTCTACAAACCCAGTTCTAATTCTTTTGTTTGTTTGGTTTTTGGTCAGTTGGTTGGTTGGTTGGTTTTGTTTTTGTATGTAAAAGCAAAGAGCATTTATTCTTCAGAGACAATCAGCATGCAGGGGTCTGCCATTCATAGAAAATGGTAACCTCAGTTCTAATTCTGAGCTTCTGGATGTTGGTGTATTTTTTTTTTTTT